TTACTGGCAAACACAGCTTGACGCCATGCAATGCTTGAACCTTTTGCATAACGCGTTGTAACATGCTACACCGCTTTACAGAAAAAGATGCACGAGAGCATGGTCCTAGATTCTCTGAAAACGAGGCAAACGTGTCAGTAATGACATTTCATGTAAATATTATCATTTAATTTGTATAAATATGACTACTATCATTTGATCAATAGATGCTTTGTAAGCCATTAATACATGTATATCTTTCAATTCAGATGATAAATATAATATATTACAAATCTAATAATTTTGCTCAATATTTAAAAAAACATTTATTAATCATTAATCTGTAAAATGCAAAGTAATTCCGAAGAGATCACATATGGCAAGACCATATTTACTACATATACATGAATTTCAAAAACATAATAGCGTGTAAAAATGGTTAATGGTGTCTTTCATCTCTGTGTTAAACCTACTACATCATTTCCTTAACAACTCAGTTTGTTTGAGAAGTGATCATATTTGAATCTAGCAGAGATGTTAGTTCAAAGAATGTTAAGAATGTTCTTTAAAGACCTTTTATAAAAGTTTCCCAGGCGCATTCCGTCAAGCCAGCGTTAAAACGCATCCACGTTCAATCAGCAATAGGCTTATACATTATATATGCAGGCTGAATCAATAGTGTTATATCGGAAAATTAGCGACCTTCGGTTGCCGTAATCAGAACAACGTACAAATGCTATTTACCGTCAGGCAGACAAGACGCTATGTGTCACCTTGGATAGATTTCACTGGAAGATTGGCATTGAGGACCCACAAGTAAGCACTACAAGTTAATAGGGTGACATTGGAGTACCTACGATTTGTAAGTGGTATATCCATATGTTTACTGGGGCATCGGTTATAGATCATGGACTGTCATAAAACATTTGAATATCATAGTGGTATGGCAAACTGTTTCATGTGTGCCACGCAACATCGCCCATCATTTTAAGTACTGTTTCAGGCGGCTTATAATCATAAAGGTCAACCGGGCTTCAACGATAACGCCCAACAGGTTATGTATGGTGTATGCCAGCCTTCGCACCGAGAAAACCAACTCCATATAAATTATCATAATAGTTTGTAGTGCGTCATAAGAATACATGTACGTTAACTAAACCTTTCTCAGCTTATCCATAATTTGTTTTGTTCTTGGAGGACAAAGATTCAAATTTAAAATGCAAATTTAACATGTTGCTTAGATATTAAAAGCATGCTTTATTGGTACGCAATTTTAGTATCAGTATATCAAACTAATCACAAATTATCAACATATATTTAATTTATTTGAAAAGGCCATATTTATCAAACGTGACATAAGCTTTATATCAAATTTAGAGAAAAGGGGAACTATTTGGTTTTTGAAGGGTTTACGATTATCATCTATAAATAAATAAATAAAATTTCCGAAGAAATTCAAATACATATAGGGCTGAAACTTGATGAAGTGTAGGCTCTTCGTTACATTATAGACTACGGTTTGAAATACCTTGTAACTGTTTATCATGCAAGCGATTAGGAGTCAGTTAAACTCACTCTCTCAAGGCAAGCTGAGTTTTAAAAAAACAACAACATTTGTTTCCATTCAATGGTGGCAGATCAATTGAGGTCGCCTGATTGTCCTAGCAACAATAGATTGGCAAAGAAAAACCAAAGGCGGGATTGATCGACAGACGCCCTCGAGATCAAATCCTTATAAACTATTCATAAGGTTTTGGGTACTCAATCAGTGTCACAAAACGAGAAATCCAATGTTTGAAGCATGTTTACTTTTTCAAACAAAGTTTTAAGTTAACGAACATGGATTTTGAAGTGGGGTCTTTGTCTCGCTCTTCCATATCATGTTCTTTCAATTGTAAGACGTAATCGACATCCTAAGAAATTTCATAGTGTTGGTATACTTCAAAGATCCTTGTAGCGATCAGATATCCAAATCTTTATTTGCTTCTTTCTTTAAATGCTCCATTGTTTCGCTACATAGGCAAATTGACAGAATCAGATCTTTCACAGTTAGAACCGATTACACTTGTTGCCGTGCTCTTTATTACAAACATAAGATTGTTTTCAATTGAGCCTTATTTTTGAAAATATCAGTTACATGTACCTGTGGCTACATGCCTTACCCTCATTTTGCAGATCAGTCCTTCATACTGTGTGAAAGAGGCTTCATATACAGAGAGACCATCAGACCAAAAGAATGAATATGGAAATCTTGGAATAATTACGAAAAAAGCAAGTTACTATGACAACTGTCAGTCAGAGATGGGGCAGTCTTCAGGACGTGAGGGGCGTGTCTTACAGTATCCATCCGGCTCCATCCCGACGTAATTCCATACAGCAAAACAGGGTAAGTTTAGAGATATATAAATGAATAGATGATAACCGAAAGGTTATTAGTAATGAATTGGTAGGTAAATGGAATTAAAATACACAGTTCTGTCCCCTCTCTTAATAGCCAACTTCAGCAAGTTATAAACAAAGGCTATGTAATTCAGGTGGCACTTCCTCGTAGTCGACCCACTAGCGCTTTGAGTCGCTCCTTCACTGTACCAGCTGGCTTGGAATTTGTCCCGGCAGAGACGACGGACAAGCTGGATGAAAGGCGAGAAAAAAGACTAGCTCGTAGTCGGCCATGGAGCGAAATAGCGCAACTAGCCCCAAGAAACAGAAATGCAAAGATAGGTCAGTAACATGATATGAACTGGAATGAATCGAACATTATGTGGAAATAACGTAACAAATAACAAATACAGTAACAGATGGCATTTTTTGTTTTGCCACCAATGTAGAATAAATAATATCTCAGTGCTGCCTTCCCGTCTGATAACACGTGTGATGAATATGTGATGTACTTCTCTTCAGATAATATATCAGATTAGAATTCCCCTTCATTCACAATCTCTAACATTTTTGATTCAATTATAAATATGATCATTAAGAACTTTTTTTCAAATATTCAAGCATTTTATTGTTGTGAATCCTTCATGGTCATCATTTTTGAGGGAAATAACAGGTAGCGTGGCCGAGTGGTCTAAGGCGCTGGTTTTAGGCACCAGTCTCAATGAGGCGTGGGTTCGAATCCCACCGCTGCCACCATTTTGATTCTTTAGTGTACAATCCGTGGCATAAATTGTGATTAACTGAGGCGCAGCCTAACAGCTTGATAAACAGTGATTTAAATGATCTTCCTCTTCTTCTATTTCAAAACGAGCCATTTCCACCTGAGCGTATATCTCATCCAACTAGCTATACTTTCCCTATTTCCAAAAAGCTTTTTCTTTAAATTACAGATATATTCTACGAGTCTTGCCTCCCAAAGGGAAGATGGATCAACTTAAACCCAAAGCAGTATGTTTACAACCACAAACATGGACAGGTGTTTGAAGTACGGTGAGTGTCCAATGTTCATATACAGTGTAACATGTTTTTCTTCACATTCTCACCTTAATTTTTTTCTTTACTTTTTAAAATATTTATCTAAGCAACATTTTCTTTATTCTCAACCCTCTTAGGACTGTAACAACGCGTGGACAGGGTCGGCCGAAGACTGCCACGGTACCAGCGCCCAATACTTGGCTTTGGGAAAATGAGTTCCGTATTTGGCTGATGGAAAAAGTGCGGGAACGAGAGGAAGGGGAGGAAAGCACAGGGCTGTAAGGAATGTCACATCGGACATATTTTTATTTTCATTTTTACAAGTGGTTCAATGAATTTTGACTGCATGCTAAAGGCACGGAAGGAATATTCTTAAATGTCTTACCAAATTAATCGTTCATTTATGAATTCATTGTAATACTAAATGTATTCGTTTGACGTAATATTAGAATACAGGGTGTTGGGACAGGTGTGACAGGAATGGTAGTCCACTAGGAACCGTAGATTATGTCCGTTCCCCATTACCTTGTAAGGAAACGTTTGTTAAGTCTCTCTTCTGGTCCTCAAATCAAATTCGGTCCCTTGGTTCTAAACTGTTTACAAGAGGCTCTGCTCTGGTCCTACACCTGTAAATGTCCATCATGACGTGTACAAACGTGTTCCCCAAACGTGTCCTTAGCTGGCTCTCTTTTGGACCCCAAACTTTTTCTGCGGTATAGTCTTCATTTGCAAACCTGCCAGTATGACGTTCGGATAGAGGGGAGGGGGTTAATAACTTTCAGTTTAGCAACCCAGTTGATTTGAGGAGCAGAAGAGAGGCTTAACAGACGCTCGTCCCATATACTTACCTCAATAACCCTAACCTGTGTTTATCATACGGGATCATGGACTTTCATTTCTTGACTACTATTCTTGTTACAACGGCCTGCTCCTTTCATCTAGCTTTCCTGGTCAATACTTCATACTGTATGTTATCTAATAAATTCTACTCAAATATAAGAACATTCTAGGAATATTTTGTTTAACTAGATTATTTTTATAGGAAACTATCACGCTCCACAAAAGACCTGAAAGGGTTAATGAAGGATATTTCCAAAAAGGGGCCACACCAGGACCTTTTCGAGTACGTACATATGCGTTTTCAGGTTTGGGAAACTCTAAACTCTATATGGATAACCCCTTATTTTCAATGAGAGTTCAACTAGAGGTCAATATGGCAATATATATTTTAGATAGTCTCTCCAAACCTGTACGCAAGCTGACAAAACTTGAATAATTGATACATTTTCAATTGTACACACTTTTTAAAACTTTTCCATCAGTTTTAAAGTATTAATCTGCTATCTTCTTAGAGAGTAAGGAGACCCAAATGTTACAAACAGTTCATTTGTTTCACTTCAGTTAGTTCGGAATGTCTTCATGCAATGTTTATTTATATAAACAAATGCAGTTTACGATCCAACAAGCGTTCTATGTAAGCTGCAAACACTAATTGCTTCGTTTCGATTAATGCACTACGTAACCCTTCAATAGCAACACTTTGAGTATTCATAAAGACCATAGTCCTATAGTAATAATAACAATTATTGCGACTGTGTACATCAAGAATGGAGACGGATACCCACGCGTACAACGTTGATTTGAATGGTGTCTTGACGGTGTTATCCCTGCCGTATTTCAGGAGATTTAATTCGTACAGACTGGAGAAGGCACGGAAGAGGAGGGCTGCCATCATTATACAGAAATGGTACCGCGGATGGAAGGTTCGGAAGAAAATGAAGGATCTTAAAAAGAAGGTACTTTGAACAGCACCTAATATTGTACCGGTAGCATTCTTACATAGTTGTGGACTGTAGGAATCCCATATATTATTTGTTTTGCTTGCAAACCTTACTTAAGTCCTTGTAGCTGTGTAGCTTTTCACCCAGGTAACGATATTCTCTTTCTGGAGATTTGTTTTAAGTGGAAAAACTACAATCCGTCTTTTGATGTCGTCATATATTTCTAATATAAAGCAATGGAGTTGTGTAGTTACCATCAATTGCAGTGGTGAATTTAGAATTAAATGGAACACTGGGCTGAAAAAATCCACGAATTGNACCAGAAAATATAAAATGATGTATGAAATGTTTAATTTTGAAATTTTTCTGCATAATAAAACATGACTTTGGCATTCTTCACGTGAATATTTACCGCAAGTTTTTCTGTCAGAGGTACCAGTGATTCAATCAATTAAAAGCTTCCATGTTTTTGTTATATGTTTTATTATATGCTATTATGACTAGCAACCCAAACTTGCCACCATGTTTAATTACATGAAAGACACATTAAAATGACGAATTTTGCATTCGCAGAGGCCTTTGCGACTAGTTTGTATCGCCGCAAATAATAGCCTCGAAACTAATGGTGATTTGGACATTAGCGCAGGGCCGGGATTTGCGAAGCTTTCGAGATACGGGATAGCGCACGCTAGCCATGCTAGCGCAGGCGCTCAAAATAGCGATTCTTTCGAGATACGGAATAGCGCACGCTAGCCATGCTAGAGCGTTTGCGCAACATAGCGAACCTTTCGAGATTCCGAGCCCAGGTAAACACAGCTTGACGCCAATATTTGAACCTTTTGCATATCGCGCAGTAACAGCCTACATTGCTTTCCAGAAAAAGATGCACGAGAGCATGGCCATAGATTCTCCGAACTATTTGAAAACGAGGCAAATGTGTCAGTAATGACAGTTTATGTAAATTTTATCATTTAATTTGTATAAATATGACTACTATCATTTGATCAATAGATGCTTTTTAAGCTATTAATACATGCATGTCTTTCAATTCAGATGATAAATATGATATAATATAATACAAATCTAATAATTTTACTATATATTTAAAAAAGCAACATTTATGAATCATTAATCTGTAAAATGCAAAGCAATTCTGAAGAGATAAAATATGTCAAGACCATATTTACTACATATACATGAATTTCAAAAACATAATAGCGTGTTAAAATGGTTAATGGTGTCTTTCATCTCTGTGTTCAACCTACTACATCATTTCCTTAACAACTCAGTTTGTTTGAGAAGTGGTCATATTTGAATCTAGCAGAGATGTTAGTTCAAATAATGTTAAGTTTCCCAGACGCATTCCGTCAAGCCAGCGTTATAATGCATGCATGTTCAATCAGTATTAAGCTTATACATTATATATGCAGGCTGAATCAATAGTGTTATATCGGAAAATTAGCGACCTTCGGTTGCCGTAATCAGAACAACGTACAAATGCTATTTACCGTCAGGCAGACAAGACGCTATGTGTCACCTTGGATAGATTTCACTGGAAGATTGGCACTGAGGAGCCATAAGTAAGCACTACAAGTTAATAGGGTGAGATTGGAGTATCTACGATTTGTAAGTGGTATATCCATATGTTTACTGGGGCATCGGTTATAGATCATAGGCTGTCTTAAAACATTTGAATATCATTGTGGTATGGTAAACTGTTTCATGTGTGCCACACAACATCACCCATCATATAAGGTACGGTATCAGGCGGCTAATTATGATGATCAAACGGGCTTCAACAATAACGTCCAACAGGTTATGTATGGTATATGCCAGCCTTCGCACCGAGAAAAGTAACTCCATATAAATTATCATAATAGTTTGTAGTGTGTCATAAGAATACATGTACGTTGATTAAACCTTTCTCAGCTTATTCATAATTTGTTTTGTTCTTGGAGGACAAAGATTCAAAATTAAGATTCAAATTTAACATGGTGCTTAGATATGAAAAGTATGATTTATTTGCACGCAATTTTGGTATCAATATATCAAACTAATCACAAATTATCAACATTTATTTAATTTATTTGAAAAGCCCATATTAATCAAACGTGACATAAGCTTTATATCAAATTTAGAGTAAAGTTAAACTATTTTGTTTCTGGGGGGTTTAAGATGGAAAGATTATCATCTATAAACAAACAAAAAAAATTTCCGAAGAAATTCAAATACATAAAAGACTGAAATCTATGACGAAGAGTAGGTTCTTCATTACATTATAGACTACGGTTTGAAATACCTTGTAACTGTTTATTATGCAAGCGATTAAGAGCCAGTTATACTCACTCTCTCTCAAGGCAAGCTGAGTTAAAAAACATTTGTTTCCATTCAATGGCGGCAGATCAATTGAGGTCGCCTGATTGTCCTAGCAACAATAGATTTGCAAAGGAAAACCAAAGGCGGGATTGATCGACAGACGCCCTCGAGATCAAATCCTTATAAAATATTCATAACGTTTTGGGTACTCAATCAGTGTCATGAAACGAGAAATTAAATGTTTGAAGCATGTTTACTTTTTCAAACAAAGTTTTAACTTAACGAACATGGATTTTGAAGTGGGGTCTTTGTCTCGTTTTTCCATATCATGTTCTTTCAATTGTAAGACGTAATCGACATCCTAAGAAATTTCATAGTGTTGGTATACTTCAAAGATCCTTGTAGCGATCAGATATCCAAATCTTTATTTGCTTCTTTCTTTAAATACTCCATTGTTTCGATACACAGACAAATTGACAGAATCAGATCTTTCTCAGCTAGAACCGATAACACTTGTTGCCGTGCTCTTTATTACAAACAGAAGATTGTTTTCAATTGAGTCTCATTTTTGAAAAATCAGTTACATGTACCTCACTTTGCAGATCAGTCCTTAATGTGTGAAAGAGGCTTTATATACAGTGAGACCTATTAGAACCATAAGAATGAATATGGAAACCTTGGAATAATTACCAACAAAAAAGTTACTATGACAACTGTCAGTCAGAGATGGGGCAGTCTTCAGGACGTGAGGGGCGTGTCTTACAGTATCCATCCGGCTCCATCCCGACGTAATTCTATACAGCAAAACAGGGTAAGTTGAGAGATATATAAATGAATATATGATAACCGAAAGGTTATTAGTAATGAATCGGTAGGTAAACGGAATTAAAATACACAGTTCTGTCCCCCATCCTAATAGTCAACTACAGCAAGTTATAAACAAAGGCTATGTAATTCAGGTGGCACTTCCTCGTAGTCGACCAACTAGCGCTTTGAGTCGCTCCTTCACTGTACCAGCTGGCTTGGAATTGGTCCCAGCAGAGACAACGGACAAGCTGGATGAAAGGCGAGAAAAACGAGTAACTCGTAGTCGGCCATGGAGCGAAATAGCACCAATAGCCCCAAGGAACAGAAATGCAAAGATAGGTCAGTGACATGATATGAACTGGAATAAATCAAACATTATGTGGAAATATGGAACAAATACAGTAACAGCTGACTTTTTTGTTTTGTTTTGCCACCTATGTAGAGTAAATATTATTGCCTCAATACTGCCTTCCCGTACTTTTCTTTAGATAACATATCAAATTAGCATGACCCCTCATTCACAATCTTTGACGTTTTTAATTCAATCATTGAATTATAAATAAAATAATTCAAAATTATTTTTAAATATTTACCTACTTTATTTATTTATTTATTTATTTTTTTTTTTTTTTTTTGAATAGTTGACGATCATCATATTTTTCTAGCTAAATAAGAGGTAGCGTGGCCGAGTGGTCTAAGGCGCTGGTTTTAGGCACCAGTCTCAATGAGGCGTGGGTTCGAATCCCACCGCTGCCAACATTTTGATTACTTAATACACACGCATAAATTGTTATTTACCCAGGCGCAGCCTGGCAGCTTGATACGTATTGGTGTTAATGAATTTCCTCTTCTTCTATTTCAAAACGAGAAATTTCCACATGAGCGTATATCTCATCTAAACTAGCTATAATTTTTCCCTATTTCCAAATACTTTTTGTTTCAATTACAGATATATTCTACGAGTCTTGCCTCCCAAAGGGGAGATGGATCAACCTAAACCCAAAGCAGTATGTTTACAATCACAAACATGGACAGGTATTTGAAGTAAGGTGAGTGTGCAGTGGTCACATAACATGTTTTGCTTCACATTCTCACCTTTAAAAACTTTCTTTATTTTTAAAATGTTTTCATGTAAGCAACATTGCCTTTATTTTCAATCTCCGTAGGACTGTAACGACGCGCGGACAGGGTCGGCCGAAGACTGCTACGGTACCAGCGCCCAATACTTGGCTCTGGGAAAATGAGTTCCGTATTTGGCTGATGGAGAAAGTGCGGGAACGAGAGGAGGGGGAGGAAAGCACAGGGCTGTAAGAAATGTCACATTGGACATATTTTTGTTTTCATTTTTACAAGTGCTTAAGTGAATTCTGTATGCCTGCTCACGTGACTAAAAGGTAAAGGTACGGATAGAATATTTTTAAATGTCTTATCAAATTAATCATTTATTTATGAATTCACTGTAATACTATGTAAATGTATCCGTTTGACGTAATATTAGAATACAGGGTGTTGGGACAGGTGTGACAGGAATGGTAGTCCACTAGGAACCGTAGATTATGCCCGTTCCCCATTACTTTGTACAGGTGACATTCGTCCCATATACTAACCTCAATAACCCTAACCTGTACTTATCATATGGGATCATGGACTTTCATTCCTTGGACTACTATTCCTGTCACACCGGCCTGCTTCTTTTCTATAGCTTCCCTGGTCAATACTTCATACTGTATGTCATCAAACAAATTCTACTCAAATATAAGAACATTCTAGGAATATTTTGTTTAACTAGATTATTTTTTCTAGGAAACTATCACGCTCCACGAAAGACCTGAATGGGTTAATGAAAGATATTTCCAAAAAGGGGCCACACCAGGACCTTTTCGAGTACGTACATATGCGTTTTCAGGTTTGGGAAACTCTAAACTCTATATGGATAACCCTGTATTTTCAACTGAGAGTTCAACTAAAGGTCAATATAGCAATATATATTATAGATAGTCTCTCCACACATGTACGCAAGCTGACAAAATCCAGTCTTGAATAATTGATACATTTTCAATTGTACGCACTTTTTTAAAACTTTTCCATCAGTTTTAAAGTATTAATCTGCAATCTTTTTAGAGAGTAAGGAAACCCAAATGTTACAAACAGTTCATTTGTTTCACTTCAGTTGGTTCGGAATGTCTTCATGCAATGTTTATTTATATAAACAAATGCAGTTTACGATCCAACAAGCGTTCTATGTAAGCTGCAAACACTAATTGCTTCGTTTCGATTAATGCACTACGTAACCCTTCAATAGCAACACTTTGAGTATTCATAAAGACCATAGTCCTATAGTAATAATAACAATTATTGCGACTGTGTACATCAAGAATGGAGACGGATACCCACGCGTACAACGTTGATTTGAATGGTGTCTTGACGGTGTTATCCCTGCCGTATTTCAGGAGATTTAATTCGTACAGACTGGAGAAGGCACGGAAGAGGAGGGCTGCCATCATTATACAGAAATGGTACCGCGGATGGAAGGTTCGGAAGAAAATGAAGGATCTTAAAAAGAAGGTACTTTGAACAGCACCCAATATTGTACCGGTAGCATTCTTACATAGTTGTGGACTGCAGGAATCCCATATATTATTTGTTTTGCTTGCAAACCTTACTTAAGTCCTTGTAGCTGTGTAGCTTTTCACCCAGGTAACGATATTCTCTTTCTGGAGATTTGTTTTAAGTGGAAAAACTACAATCCGTCTTTTGATGTCGTCATATTTTTCTGATATAAAGCAATGGAGTTGTGTAGTTACCATCAATTGCAGTGGTGAATTTAGAATTAAATGGCACACTGGGCTTTAAAAACCCACGATTTGGCGATACCCTATGCCTGAAACAAGTATGTATGTTGTCTCGGAAAAAGAGATACTAATCTATGACAACATGTCGAAAAATACCCATTCTTTATAATGATCTATTGTCGAAACCAGCCAGCGATAGGCCAAAATAGCAAAAATGACCATATTATAAAAGTCTGTCCCTATCTATCAGACCCTAAAAATCATAAAAAAGGAAGAACATGATTGGAAACATGATCTCAATTCAAATATCCCTTGACCCGGCCTTGTACATTTCTGTATTTCATAGTATTGAAAATCTTTTATTCCCATTGATTTTGGCATCGCACTTGACATACGATCTTGTTTGTCAAATGATTGTGTTTATTTTGGAACAGCTTAGTAGACAGACTGATTGTTACAAGATTCACAAGTGCAATATACCCGTTAAGTCTCCAAAGAATTTACCTTTATCCTCATTTAGGAACTATGTCCATATAACCTTCATTTAACGTGTACTCTTCGCCATTTTACTGACTGTCCTTGGTCCTAGGTCTGTCAGTGACCAGCAGCAATTCTCGTGATGATATCTTAATATAATTTTTGTTAGTCTAGTAACAGAATAAAAAAAGATAATAATCATATTATATTTTCATTAGTCGTATATTGTGTACCGGTTTATATTATCTTACCTTTCCATATGTCAAACCTTTAAGGCCTGCCTTAGGTTTAAATGCATTACACACGTGTTATACTCCAGGCCCTTCATCAGTTCCACTCCTCCTGGCACACCTTCGTTAAGGACTACAAGTCTCTGTTAACGCGGATACAGAAGCGTTTTGGGGAAGAGAAAATTCAGACGCCTTTCAGCTCTCAGAGAATGGAGGAATTTATGGAGAAAAAGAAGCGTGAGTGACACAACTTTTGATGATTTGTTTTGTCACTAAATTGCAATTACCGCCACTTTCACGCATTATATTATATTATATTATATTATATTATATTATATTATATTATATTATATTACACCTCTCATAGAATTATATGCCTCTGACTGGTCAGTTCCAATGCTGTACACTATATATTATACCTGTGTTTACCGTTAGGCTTTAACGCGTGTACCATTTCCTCTGGCGGCATCTCGTTCTTTGATGTTCATTCAGGACTGTGCTCTAGTTGTTTGATGTTACCTAGGTTATGAAGACATCTTCTACAAGGTTGCTGACGGTTCTAAGCTGCCGCGTGAGAAGCTGATGGATTTCTTTAAAGCGTGCCATCTTTTCCCGACAGAAAACGATATAAAGAAGGCCTTCAATGCAGTTTTTAGAGGTACCGTTCGATGGGAAAGTGGTTCTTGAAAATCATTTGAATTAATAAGATTTGTTTAGATTATAAATTATATAATATGAAAGCTATGACATGATATGATATGAGAGTATACAGTTCACATTGTTTCTGAAGTTGGTTGGTGCAAGGCACGTCATACTTCTGTTTAGGCACGGAACCTTAATTGGGCACTTATGTCACAATAGATTTAATTACATTTTTTATTTAAACTACAAGTATCAATGATACAGTAATAAATAAATTCAAATAGTATTTTTAAAAAGTACATGTATGACAATTTCGCCTTATTCCAGGTTGCGGTACTCAAGCAGAAATCGTTATAATGCTGGACTGTTCAGCTAGCGTAGGAGAGATCAACTTCAAGGCCCAGATGTCATTTGTGCGGGAGTTCGTCTCGCGTCTCGAGATAGGAGAGGACAGGATCCGGGTAGGGGTGATCCCGTTCAGCGACGAGCCTTACCAAGTGATCCAGTTTGACGGCTATGAGACGAAAGAGGAACTGGTGGCGGATATTGGTAAGTATCAAAGCTCTGTTTTACACCGGGTTTTGATACCTGCTCTACGTTATGACCTTATCAAACCTGAGAGCTGCCTACGCACGAGCGTGAACAGTATTTTGATAGTTATTTCAATCTTTAAAACCATTACGTAGAGTTTCTACATAAGCGCTTTAATCTGAATAGAATCAGAATTTGAAGTTAAAATCTGTAATTAAAGCGAAATAAAAAATCTAAAATCAAAATAGAAGATGCGATATCAGGTTCCGCCTTTTCTCACGATTAAAAACGTAGACCGTAATTCGTAGATCACACATTCCGCGATCCTTTCATGTATTTTGTATTTTTATCGTACAATGGCCTGTTAAGAACATATCCAAGAGCATTCCCCAGGGCTTGACATTAAGGGTGGCCCACTGGCCCTGGGCCACTGAAAACCAACCTGGGGCCATTGAATCGTTGGGGTCACTGGCCCAAAGTAAAATGTCATGTGTCAAATCATCCTTGCAATATTTACCAATATTTCGGACCAGTATCGAAGAAAGTTAGTGTCAAGCCCTGTCCCCCCCCCCCCCCCCCCCCCAAACGTTAAAATTTCTCTACCAAACAATCGGCTCCCTACTATTAGAACATTTCCATTGTTTCAGAGAGGATAAGATACAAGCGTGGTTTGACAAGAACGGATCGTGCAATTATTTCTATGAGAAATATGTGGGCGGTAGGTATAATGTATATATTTTCACTACCAAAAGAATGAAGCAGAAGTCAAGCCTCCATTAATCATATTGATTGAATAAGCAACTTTTGACATGTCTTTCTATTATGGTAGATAATAAGTGATTGTTCGAATATTCCATTTTATTTATGATAGACACGGTATTTGCAATATAATGTAGATTTTGTGAAAAAAGGGGCATGCCTTGACACGACTACAAATTCTTGTTTTTCTTCAGTTCCTCTCAATTGTGTTCAGCTTTAAACATAATTGGAAAATATCGCTTCATAAATTAAAATAGCAATTAATAAATTATATGAAATTAAATGTCACTCAATTCATACGGGAAAGAGGTTAAAAGATGGTGATAATTACGTATTGGCTTTCAGAGGTCACGCCCCAATGTGCCGAAAATCGGCCTCATCGTCACAGACGGCCAGTCGTACTACACACATCTGACACAGAAAGAGGCACAGAAAGCAAAGATTGAAGAAACTATCATCTTTGCCATAGGTGCGTTTTATGAACCTATCCCATTTCAGGCTCTTTCAGTCGTGAAACGACAAAAAAATAGCGCGTTTACGTTCATCGTCGATGGACTGCAGTAGTTCCATTTCAGAATACCTTATTTGACATTGACAATAAGTTATCAGAGCCATGGCCAAAACTTACTAGAAACTGTGTCTTTGTCTCTGACATATCCACCAATTTCATGGACACGTTTATCTGCTGAATGAAAACAATGAATATTGCAACCCTGGGCTAAAATATTGAATTCCCGTAACTTCGTGTTTTATAAATGTGTCATATTTGTTCATATGCATCCAGTTATAGTCAGACATGCTAAACATTCTAACTTCAGAGTTTTGTCTTATCTTTTCTATTATCAAACTTCGAGGGCGTGATACTGATAAAAGAAAACTTGAGGTCACAACACGTGCTTTGGGTGATTGGCGATAGCGTTGAATTTATAATTGAAAATCAAGATGCTGTGTTTTTATTCTAAAACTAGGTGTAGGCCATCGTGCTGACAAAAGGGAGCTAGAAGCCATAGCCTCCAGTCCTGAGCTCATCTACCACGTTTTTGACTATTTTGCGTTGGGGAGGATCATCAGCGAGATCATCATGAAGACATGTCTAGGTAAAGTCTGCGTGTATATTTTTCGGACTGATTTGATTTGCTTTATACTTAATGTTATACATATGGATTTAATTATTACAGTATACATTGACCATCAGCTTTATCAATATTTCATAACCTCATAGTTTGTAGCTGGTAGTATTAATATAGTGTACAAGTTTTTCAAATTTCTTATCAAGCACATCCTGTGTTATTTCTTACACGATCCCCGACCGCAAAAATGTGGAAATACTATGCTAAGGAGACCTCACAGATGTGTTACTACTTTAAGTTTTTAATTCACGTGTATTCTTCTGAGTTTTACATTCTGAATAATTTTACCTTTTAACAGCTTTTAAGCTTGCCATATTTGTACTCCAGATTCGTGCACACTCTGTCACTTTGCGGTAGCGGACGAGTGCCGGCCACGCCACAGAGGTCTGTATAAATCTGAGGCCATGGAGATACTGTGGATGATCTTCATACCACCAGAGACTGGACTGCCTAAGCTACGGAAAACAGCCACCATGAACCCCGTCATAGGGGACGAAGAGGCCGTGAAATTGCTCAGTGCGTTTATCCTTTTTTCTATGAATTAAAATACAGCATTAATAATTAGTCTCTCTCTCTCTCTCTCTCTCTCTCTCTCTCTCTCTCACACACACACACACACACACACACACACACAACTGTTATGGTTGAAATTTAATACCAATTCAATACGAAAATTACGTAGGTTGGTGACTTCCAATTTTTTCCAATTTATATCAAACGTACTAAAATGACGCATCCTTTGTCTGTTTAATTTACCTTTATTTGCATATTTTAAATCCCTGTTCATTTGACAATGGCTTCAACATCGCTGTGTTATGTCGTGGTAATAACAGATTATCGGGCACACAAGTAGAAATTTTGGTTTCAAGTAGGTATGTGGCATACGGTAAGTGAAAGGATGTCAACAGGATGAGGCCTATTCTCTACAAATCATGGTAAAATCGCCACGGTGTAACTGGAAATCACGTTTTCTGTTTCAGCCGCACGATTAAGTGCAGTTGCTGTCGAGGTAAATGAATGTACTTCCCTACCTAGCTTGCATTCCATTGTAACCAATGCCATTTTACTAATCACAGTCTCCTGGTTTTTATAACATCAGTGTCAAACATATAGCAATAGTCGCAGTAGAAGTACAAACGTACGTAGTAGCTGTAGCAGCATATTTGCAACACGTATTCATTTTAGCACTTTTTTCATTAAATAATAACTTCTCCGTCTGTTTCTTATCAAGTCCATATACTAATCCCGTCATCACAACTACCGCTGCCTCAAATAACATGATCAACTCCTACCGCTCCCAGAATTGCCACAAGTTCCTATCACGTCTAGTTTGAGATTTTGTACAGTGAGTGCTCCTCTGGGTCGTATGTTGATATTTAGCTCTCTAGCCACACTCTAGATTACAAGATTTTAAAATGATTCAGGTATATGTAAAGTGTAATCGCATTTGTCAGTTTGACTTTCTCTCCTGAGATATTTGGCTTCTAAATTTTTATCCACCTTAAGTCGCGTTTCCAGTCGAGATGAGTAGACCTTACTTGGCACTACCAAGCTCAGCATTTGTATCTTGATTGTTTAGCCAATCTTTCATAAAACAGCAGTGTGTATGAGCGGAACTTGTACAACAAAGTGATTGGTTGTACTGCACACGACGTTTCGATCGTAAACAGGCACCTGGTACTGAGACAGGCCGAGCTAAACTGGCTGGAAACACGACTAAAATCATCACCAGTATTATATTGACTAGCTAACCCCAGTGTTTACAATTAATGGACCGTTTCTATAGAGTAGTGGTATCGATCGGGATATATTGGTTTTATAGAAATTCAACAGGTGTAATAAGGCACCTGAAACTTTGCCTACAAGTAAAACTGTAAGGTGTGTACCAAAGAGCACGGACTACTAGGTAAGTTTGCCTAAGAACAATGCGCTCCTGACTGTGTATATTCCCAAACGTAAAGAGCGCGATTCTTTAGCTCGATTATAAACATAAAAACCTATGTTTAACTTGTCTTCGATGTCTGGAGAGGTAAGAACTAACGCATTGCAAGGTGTCTTTCACAACAGAGCACCGATAGAAGGGTAAGGTTGTACTGACAAACTTTGAGACAGCGCGAGTATCATTGTACTCTGTAGGACGAAGTAGCTACGTCTTGGTGATAAATACTCCATTGAACTGGATTTTGTTCCGTTGCTTCTATCCTCACGTAAATTTTGACTTGCATTCAATCAAAGGAGTAGATTATTCCTTGATTTAATACACCGGATATGACTTTTTTTTATCACATGTATTATTGTACGAATACGAGAAGAAATTTAGATAATCCAAACGAGCTTTCACTTCTGTTATCAAAATACAAGAACGCGTCTTTTTTTTTTTTTAATTACCTTAGTCATTAATTTATTTTTTAAAGAGAAAGTAGATTTGCCGTATCGTGAAGGAACCGTTCACATCGAGACTATATGGCTTAAGGTAGCTTTAAGGATTTTGAATTCAAGTATAATTTGGTTACCAATATGAAAAATAAGCTCTTCAAAACTTTAAAAATTGTCGACGCTAAGGTGACGGGGCCCGTGGTCTATTGTTTTGCTTATTCGTGGGTTAAGAATTACAGCACCTTTTCTTATTGATCTGTTCCCCTCACTAACAGTATTGAACAGTGTATGGCAAAGGTCAAACTCATCAAAGCAGTCGGATTGATTCCCATTTATCCAAATTTGTGCATTGAGTTTATGATTGTGAATAATTGATCAACAACTCACAACGCTGAGGATATCACCACAAACGTTTCATTTCCTTAGAAAATAGTCACATTGCATAATAGAATAGGCCTCGTTTGTTCGCATTGTCTTACCTTGCTTATTTGTTTTGTTTATGAAAATGCATGCCATATAATATGATCATTAATGATCTATGATAAATGTATTATCGTATAATACAAAAAGAAATAAGTAATAACGAATGAAAGAATACAAAAGTTGTACGCGTTTCATTTCACAATAAGAGACGCGCTTATTTTGTGTAATATACACACGAGTATATTACACAAAATGCGTAATACACTCACGAGTATTTTATATCCCTTAATATAATTACTGCTGCTTTAAACGCATATTGGGTGACGCTAGAGTATTAGTATAAAAAGAGTGATATTAATGGAACAGTTCAAAATCAATGTATGCGTCAATGAGAGAACTCAAACGTTCACTTTTTATGAAATGATCGCCGAACAAAAAAAAACATGGCGGTTTATAGTATGGCAGATAATAATTCTCTGAGGCGAGTAATAGAAGTGTGCCTTAGTTAGTAATAATTTGCAATTTAAAAAGTGTGTTCTAATGCAATCATGATGTTTATTGATTCTCAACTATTAATGAAAATGTATTCTCTCATCGTTATGGGTGCATAATCTTAGCTATAGCAAAAACATAAGAAATCTGTATTTCAGTGACAAGCTGCCCACCTGTAGGCCTACGACTCAAAGATCAGTATTCGATAGGATTTCAATTTAACGCAATGGAACTCACGGTCGATAGAAAAATCTGTGCGTTTCACTTCATTAACTTCCAGTTTAAAATCCACGTTAATCTCAGACCACGTATTAAGCCATATCGATCAGAACCGGTCGCGTTTCACGTGCTGATCACATGAAATATAAGGGAATATTGGACGTCAGTACATTGATCTGAAACCATATGCCTCACTGGTTTTCCAAAATTAACGATTTTCAGATTATATATATATATATATATATATATATATATATATATATATATATATTACCTGAAAATCGTTAATATGCTATATTACCAAGGTAAAAAATGGCTAATAGTAAGCGAAAAGGCACAATGCATCAAAACATTTAGGTTCCTTAATTTTCCTTGCGTTTTCGATACGTTTCAAAGTATACTCTGCGTTATGTCATTGATCAGCTTTATAATTTCAATGAGAATGTGGACTTTGTTTTAACACTGACTTGAGAAAATGTAAAAGATCTGTTATGTTAAAAGAAATGTAGAAGTTATTTTGCTTCAAGCTTGTTCAAGCTAATTACAAACAACTTCTGCATTTGTAGTGAAATTATATAGGATAGAAAAGCTTTCCTGAAGCTAATGACAAATAAAATTTTACATTTCTACATCTATATCCTTTTAACCCATTCAGAACAGTGTATTCGAACGTGTTTTGCATTAATTATAAATCGTTAGAATCGAACAAAAGTCAGTTTCATTCCTCGTTATTATAAACTTCCATATAAGATCCTGTCGTTTTTCTTTTCCTCGATTTGATCATGTCTAATTGAAGCCACGCTCAATGCAATCATATTATACAGTTATCTACATGTAATATTTACTGAAATGTTATATAGTCAGCTGGCGCGTTATGTCCGCGTGGATACGCCTGTCGATCTTTTCATCGATCTTTTGTATGCTTTGCTAATACACATAACAAACTGTGTTGGTTTCCGGCTTATTTAGGCTTATGTGAAGTCAAAGAAAAATTGCCTTTGGTAAAAAGTAGGATGCATTTGTAGCTGAATTTCCTATAAGATGTAATAAGTTTTCTTCTTTTTGGCATTCCTTGACGTAAACATGGTGCTGAAAAGGTTGATATAACAACACCAAGATAGAAAATCGTGCAATATCTCAGATGTAGATTATATATTTATAAAATTCAAAACGATAATGAAGAGTTATTCAATACTTGTATATCACTGTCACAATGGCAATCTCTATACCTGCCAGTCAATACGTAGGAATTTTTTTTTTTTTAGCGTTATCGGGACAAAAGTATAACGTTTTTATTATTTATGTATATATTTATTTATTTTGCAGCTAACACAGAAGTAGATAACATAGACTTTCGGAACGCGCTGAAATCTGTAGTAAAGAACAAAATCCAGCGCGAGGGAGCAGTGTCTCTCCCGTTGCTTGGGAACAACAGCAGCACCATCAAACGGGAGTACACAAAACTAGACGACGCTGTTCAGCACATCGGTGAACTACTGAAAGATAAACAAGAAGACAAAGTCATCGACCTTGTATTCGGAAAAGACACAGAAACCACGGAGAAAATGACGTCACAGATCAGAAAAAGTAATGGAATAGTTGAAGATGTGGAGAAACTACGCAAATCTCTCGAGGAATCGCCCACCATTTCATCAGATCTAAAACCTGAAGACGATGAAACTAAAAACGAGGCTGCACGTGCTACGGATGATTCCGACTCGGGGACGGAACTGCTCGAAGTGTACAAACGCGCTTTGAATGAATCGGGGGATCCGATAGGAACGCGTTCAGCGGAACCACGTGAAACGGATGCTCACTATGTTCTTGTCACGGAGCCGACCAGCCGCGCCAAAAGTGCTCTAAGGCGCGCCCCTGTGACAAGAGAACCGCCTGTCCGACCAGACAGCCCTAAGGATACTAAACCTAAGCCATCGGAGGAACCGAAAAAAGATGACGTGAAAGCCGAGCAAACTCTGAGCTACAGACGGAGTCTCCTAGCCTCAGTACCAGACGATGATGATAAGCCGAGACCACGTGACCCCATTGATAAGAACAAGTCACGTGGTCGCACGAAAATTGACTACAGTTATGATTACACGCTGTTTAAGTTGAAAGAGGCACAGAAAAGGGAAAAGGATAAACCAGGAAAGAAGGCAGACGACATTGAAATCCCAATAGAAGATTACTAATTCCCTCCTATGTCAAATTTTTAGTCCGTTTTCTAACTTTGTTGTCACAAATACGGCAGTTTTGGTTTCCAGTGTTTCTGGTGGTGATTTTGATTACCGGTAGTTTTCTTACATTCACATACTTTAAAAGGAAATGGATCCTACAAACGTACTACATAACTTATTCTTTTTCCGCATGTTCGTAGCCATATATCCACACGTTAAAACAAAGAGGTATCCATTTATGTTACCATTATTTGACTACAGTTTCAGCTGTTGTAACACTATTTCATTGGAATTGTAATCAAGAAATTTTAAATTTGGATTCAACGTTTTCTTAATTTGAATATAAAATGCATATTTCTTTAACCAACACGTACTTCTCCAATGCAAAAGGATAGCTTAAATGTGTGCTTACCGTGTTATTTGCTCAATAAATCTTTTTAAAGTTTGCAATATAATTTTATAGTTTGCAACGTTTGCGTCAGCTCCGACTTGCACGAAGTAGCCTTGAGAAGGAACAAAACTAAGAGGGTTCAAATTTAAAAAAAATGTTTTCATTTTTCGGTTGTTGCCAATCACAAAGGCAAATTAGTTTTACTATGAAGATTACAAAGAAATATTTGGCAAAAGTTGTGACCGTGAAAAATTAGCCCTTTTTTCTTCCATGTCTTTTTAACAGCACAACTTTTTTTTTACTTAAATTATTATACACGTAAGTAAAGTACAGGTCAAAAGTAACATATGTTTTAATTTTTTGATAAAAAATTTTAGCAGCCCCAAACAGTGTTGAACTATGTGAGGATATTTGAATTATACAAAATACTTCGACATAAAGTAATGCAACGTGTCTTTTTCTGCTCAGTTATCAAATTTTTTGAATGAGCTATACCCATATTGATAAAGTATCCACATGACTTAACATATATAAATTCTTGCATTCCATTAAAAATAAAAATAAAATATAATGCCAAATAGCAGGCAAATACTTTAAGAAGATGTAATATCTGTAGTTATATTGTATCCCCCACGCATTTTATTTTACAGATCAACGCACAAAAATAATTTTTGACAACCGTTTCAATTCCCTTGTCTAATTTGATGTTATTATTTAGCTTTCATCCATAATGACTAGACTAGAATCCAAATCGGGCATTAGCAATCATATCCTTCAGTCTTTTTCTTTTTGGTTTCAATGTTTTCACACTGCCTTGGCTTTTGACACTAGCACTGTCACCATTTACTATTACTTTCTCATCGTTTGTAGCAGTTTTTGTATCACTGACATTTTCAGTTACAGTTTCAATATTTTCAATTTCTTCCCGTGGCGCATATTTAGAGGCAAATTCAGTAAGCTTTTCTTTAATCTTTTCCTGCCTCTCTCTTTCTTCTTCTTCTTGTATCTTCCTGAACTCTTCCCCGATATCTCTGTCAATTCTGTCAATAGTCCTTTCTATGTTAAAGTGAGCCATTTGCATAGTAAAATGTGGCACTGTTAAATTATACTTGTCAATCATTTTATTTACCAAGGTAACACCTTCCCTGAACTCCGCCTTATATCTATCCCACCAGAGTTCAGCACTCTTAGGGATAGGGGATGCTCCTAGTTTACGGCGGTTAGCCTCCAGCTTGGTTTTGGCATCTTTGTAACCAATTCTGCAAAGAAACAACATTTCATAAATAAAGTTTATTTTATTTAAATAAAATTTATTTGAAACATCATATTTCAAAATTACAATTTTTTTTTATCCACCAATAATTTCATTTTGCCAATAAGTAAACAGTAAATCGTAACTGATAACCTGTAGACCTCAATAACATAATTAACAGATTATAGCTGTTACTGCTCATTTTATTATGCTGCATTCTAAGTGAAAAATTATTGTGCAAATGAGAGAAACAGGGTTCTGCAAGATGTATCTCAATTTTTAAGATTGCATTAAATACAGCATACTTAAGAGAATAAGCTCCAGAGAGAGAGAGAGAGAGAGAGACTGATTCATAACCACCTCACCATTTCCAATAAGACTCGGCAATAATATGTGCAATGGAAATTCTTAAATAGCATAAAATACAAAATATAATTTTAGAATTATGATGAGAGAGAGAGAGAGAGAGAGAGAGAGAGAGAGACTGACTAATCGTTACCCCCTCACCTTATCTCTTTCTCCACCATTACCCAGTCGGGCACAAAGCCGTTCTGTATCATTATCTTGTTTACATTGTGTGTGGTGGTGTCCACATATGGGTTGTCTTTGTAGTTGTTCTCCAGAGGCTTGCCTTTACCAGGGAGGTTGTCAAACTCTCCCTTGTTCATGGAGTCCAGGATCATGTCCTCCACAAGGCGGTCCAGAGCATTGCTGTGAATTTTTAATTTAATGTTATTCCTTGTACATAATAACATAATTTTAATAGCTGACCTAGGCGGAAATTACTTCAAGCTGAATGGCAGGTTCATGGGATGTAGGTAGGGTGCAAAACGAGACAAAAATAGGCCATTTTCACATCCATGTGCCCTACAATTTATAGTGAAAAATATCTTGTCCACATCATCAAATTCCATTACTTGCGACCGTATCATATCCAAACCACATTTTTATTAATTTTAATCTTATCATTATTGTCTAGAACATCCAAAATCTCTCACTCTATTACTAAAAGTACATACGTCATCTTGTGAATTCTGGCTTTGCGCTTGTCCTTCAAAACCAGTGCGTTTTCAGTCTGTGCGGCCATTCTCTCAATCCTGTGTTGTGTAACGTTCTCAGCTGCCCTGTGGACCTTGTATTGCTGATACTGTCGCATGCGCTGACTGGGGGTCCCGCGACCAACACCCTGAGTATGCCAGGAGATTATCATGTTACAAGTCTTACAGCCCTTTTTACATCAAGCAGTAGAATTACAAAATGTATCTCAATTTGTGTACAGCACCAATATGAGAGACTGACAAAGTAAAAGAGCCACCTAGCCAGAGCCCCCATAAAGCCCCTGTTATTATTATTCTGTCAATAGTACTGGGATATGGAGAGGAAATGCATTTACAATGTACAATGCATGTGTGTGTGAGAGAGAGAGAGAGAGATAGAGACAGAACAGAATTTAAATTAATTCAAATATTTTCTACTTCAAGTTAGTAACCAAAGTGTAAATACACATAACACTGTTGGCATGTTTTAAATCTGTTCACTGAAGTTCCAATAATAACAGACAGTACCGTACATATCAAACCATACCTCATACTCCAAATACTGCCTGTGCTGTGGTGCCGTGTGCTTGATCCCAAATTTATCTTCCTCTTCCTCCTCTGGTTTCACCCCCTGTTTGAGAGCTTCTGCCCTGCGAGCATTTTCTTGGACCTTTTTCTAGAAAAAAAGTACTGAGTATGCATCAATGACAGCACAACTGAAACATTACAGATCGAAATTGAGAGTGATAAAATTTTTAAAAAATTATCAAGAACTTATTTCAAGTCCCACACATATGACAAAGTGTCCATGTGGGTGGTGTTTAGCATCTTTTAACTTTTCTGAAGATTATTTAAGTTGGATTTGACAGATGACATAAACCTAAAATAAACTGTTGAGTTTTATAATTCCAAACAAGAGCCTTACCAGCACAGCTCTGTAGGCAGATTCCACTTGATTAAACTTGTTGGCATCTGCATATCTGGAGTTACTATCTGGGTGGTACTTCTTGGCAGCTTCCAGGTACGCCACCTTCAGTTCATCCTCAGTGCAGGAAGGGGGAACATTGAGCAGGGAGAAACATTCAGCTGGAAAATCATGTGAATGTGATACTTAATGAAATCAACAAGGATATATTTTAATTTGTTTCAGTCAGTAATTTTTTCAAAGCATGCACTTACTGCACACAAGGAGTTATAACTATCTGTTATAACTCCTTGCTGCACAGAACATTTAATAGTAATTATACAAAAATGAAATTACTTCAGTTACCATATTCTTAACCATTTAAGCTTAGGCAGAAAACTGTTGCATTACGAAATCCGTACATTATATACAATAAATTATTAAACTGGCGCTACATTTGCAAAATAACAATATATTTTTATATAATATTTTTCATTAATTAAGTAGTCTAACTTATTTACTGAATGTATAAGCAGATTAATGATTTTAAAAAGCTACTTACTTAGATTTTTGCTGATGTCATACCAGTACAAACTAGAGGTGGTGTGTAAACTGACAGTCACTCTGTGAAGACATGGCATTCGTTCTGAGAGGGAAAACAACTGCCTTTGGAGCACTGCTGCCAACATCTTCATGTCCACTTACTAGTAACAGCATCAGAATGCTAATACTACTAGTATTTAAGTCACATTTCCCTGGGCCTGGCTCAGTTGTTTCCCCTACAAGTTTAACGTAACACCCTTTTTTTCGATCATTTTAAGAAGACATTTCAGTGTGTGGCAAATGGTTGGATTAATACTCCTTTTGTGATAAAACTTAGCAATTCATAACGGTCAAGTAAATGGCCATGACATGTGCAATATATACATCCATTACGTAAGTGGGCTCAGAAACATTCTAATTTTTAGTCACAGACGCAGACTTCTATAAAGAAATCTTATTTTGTGACACATAAATTGATTCTTACTGACAATTCATTAAATCGACTATATTGTAAAACCAATATTTATTGTCATTGTTAAAATGTGGTATTATTCACTGACAATCCATAAAATTAAACAAACTCGGGCCATACATACCGATTCAGTCTCATTTCACTGTTTGTTATGAAGTCCACAAGGTGAAGGTTATAGCTAGTCTCCAAATTGTTTAGCAAACAACATTCACAAATAATATCCATATTTTATATAGTTTTGAATGTATCTTTTAAATTGTAGATAAAGTTTTCTAATTGTGGGGTGCTCTGCAGAACGCTTGTACAAAGAAAAGTAGAAATGTTAAATGAGATTGAGATTGTAGGCCTCGTTTTGAGACCAACATCGATGGCCATGGCCGGCGCATTGGAGAGGGATGGTGTAGTTCGTGATGAGGAAGGTGAGTTTGAAAACATTATATCAAGTTGGTTATGTGTAACGATTGTCCAGAGATACTCATTTGTTTTCAGGCTGTTTCTGAAACACCCCAAATTCTGCTTTTTGCATCAACACCTACAAAGGGCAGTGCAGGTTTACTGTACGAAATCTGTAAATCTAGTAAATTTAGTAGTGTTTGTGCATGCATGTAGTAATAAATTGGGCGAGAGAAGAGATAGGTGTGTGTTTGTGTGTGGGAGGAGGGCATGGGTTTTGAAATGTTGTGAATCAATTTGACTGTAAGAAGTGTATTGTGTGTATTGTTATCATTTGTGAGTTACTTGGTGGAAGTAAGTTCCATGATGGTAATTCCAGTAAGTCTTTAAAATGAACTGTAGAGCCGCGCTGTCTCAGTACATTTCTATTCTGTTTTTAGGTAATATGTTTATCCCAGCCTCCAGGCGGCCTGATGGGACCTGGAGGAAAGCACGCAGAGTGAAAGATGGCTACGTCCCCCAGGAGGAGGTGCCGGTGTAAGTGCCTAAACTAAACCACTAGTCCTTCTTTACTGGATGTTGGTTTTGGGCTTGTAGTCAAAATATTATTATTATTATTATTATTATTATTAAAAATTAACCAAAAGTGAGAAGTTGACTAAATAGTTATAAATGCTTTGAGTTTTATTTATTTTTTAAAGTAAATCATTGTTAGTATTTTGACATGCACTACTCCATTTTTTTTATGCACAAATTGAAAGGTTTCAGGTTATGTGTAACACGCGGCATTGTGTATCTTGTGGCATGTCTGATCTAGTAGGTGTGTTTGGATACTCAGGAGACACATCTATCATTAATTAAAGGGAAATATTTAGGGAAAACCTGCTGTCAAATTAAGTCTTTAAATTATTACAAAGCTATGTAAAAATCACAAGGACATAACTATGTTCAACTTGAAACAAGATTGTAAGCTGCAAAACTGAATTCCTGTCATTTTTCAATCAGGTACGAGAGCAAAGGCACCCAGTTTGTGAAGAACAAGCCCACCCTACCCCCTGGTCTGTTTGTAGAACCTGACAGCAAGCACAACAACCCTGGGTCAGCAGGCATACCAGGTAAGCTGTGATCATAATTAAAAAATATTGTCTCGTTGCCCAATTTGCAGTCAAATTACTACATTTATCCATGTAAACAGTGACGTGTCTCTATCCCTTGTTTAAAATCTAACATGCAGATCAAAATATTGTCCGAGTCACCCAATTTACTATCTAATTACTTTATTAAATTTTATGTATCAAATGATGTATTTTTTTTCATTTGTCACCCCCCCCCTTTTCCAAAAATGGCAATAATTAGATATTGACATTCTGTATTCATTGTTCACAAACAGTGAAATATAACTGAATTAATATTTTCATGTGTTCTAAATGCAATCAAATTGTGACCAAGTTTTTTCTGTATTTTAAAATTGTGCATGGTTATAATGTAGATATCAGTACGTGGATTGTGTAATAACAAAAATGATATTTAGTGATCAGTATTTATATGCTCATAGGTTTGTCAAAATCAGCCAAGAAAAATGCAAAGAGAAAAGAAAAGAAGAAGCAGGAAGCTGGAGACGTGACATCATTATCAAGCTCTTTACAAGAAACAAAGTTAAACGATAAAGAGAAAGATGCCAAACCAGAAGTCAAAGTTGATCCGGCCAAGAGAATAAAAACTCTAAAGAAAAAGATCAAGCAGATAGAGGACCTGCAGGCAAGGATAGACTCAGGGGATCTGAAGGAACCAGACAAGGACCAACTGGAAAAGATTTCTAGAAAACAACAAATTCTGACTGAAATTGAAGAGCTGGAGTTGGATCTGTCTTCATGAGGAAAAATGACCTCGAGTAATGGATTTTATGTGGAAGAAATCTTGAGATTCAATTTGAAAGATAACTAGGTGTGAGAATGTCAGTGGATTGTAGATGTATAAGATGGATACTTAAGAGGAGGTGCTTATTGTTCCAGGCAAGATAAGATGTCTGATATTAGGTAGAAATTACTGTTAAGTATCATAAGTAGATCTTAACATGCATCTTGAAGAGGAATTTTGCAGCAAGAATAAAGTCAAAAGTATTTATGGAATAAGTGGAATAAATAATAAAAATAATTGTTTTACTGCTATTGATGTATAAGGTGTACAAATGCTTCACATTTTTACTTTTATTTATAAATAAAATCATGTTTTTACAAGTTTTTTCTCATTTTCTTTTGCGAAAAATACAAAAAAAAAAAGAAATTGTAAGATAATCCTACAACTGTAAATAAGGTAACAGACAGCTAGTAGATAGCATTTTCCAATAGTTTTAACTGCCCGTCCTCCTTCATAAAAAATAACATTTTAAATTATTCAAAATCTTGAAAAATATTCATAATTTACTTTGGTATTTTTTAAATCCTAAACCTGACAATTGTACATTTATTTACATTATAGCTAACAGATAACATGAATAAACATAATTTAACCAAGATTTAACGAACTATGAAATTTGATAAATTACAATTTAACAATGATTATGAAGCATTTTGCTTTTTTCACCAATATTCTTTCTGAATATATAACATACAGAAAACGAGTCTACAGATATTCTTTTTCCTTGACCTTTAAAATTGCACTTTAATCCCCTTGTATTGATTCAAAGGAAGGTGTATCAGTCCATTCAACTTGAAATGCACACTGCTTTCACACCCAACTTTTCACTCATCCTGTCTATCTGTCACTCTCTCCTGAAATAAATCAAAATTAAGATAAATATAGCGATTCTATTTCATATTTCAAACAACATTTACTCTTGTGCGTATTTTCATCATAAAATTTCTCCATAAAATTTTCTTCCATAAAAAAAAATTAATTTACAACACACAGATTTTTTATAATAAAATTATACGACAATTGTTTTAATATTAAAATTAACACAGTTTCTATAGTGATAGCCCCATTCATACACTTTTTACAGAAGCATAAATCTGATTTTGTTTTCAAGGCAACCTGGTCAGTATATATATATATATATATATATATATATATATATATATATATATACTACAACATACATTCTTTGATTATGGAAAACTACAGCAATCACATTAAAATCATTTTGGGGCTAAATATTAATGAAATATTACCTTAAGTTATGGCACTTATTTACAAATTAGGCATTATTAATTTTTATTCAATTTGTTAATTTTGAAAATTAAATTTGATTCGAAAAAATTAAAAGCTTAATTAGAATTTAGGAATATGAAGGCAAAACAACACAACATGCTTACATGTCTAAAAAGCAAGTAGATAAAAAGAGGGCATTTTTATCCTGAAATTTTTATGCATTAAAGGCCCCCTCTACACTGGACGGCGTCCTTTCTGCTTCCTGTAGTGCGTTCCCGTTTGAGAGTAAAAAAATAATAATAATTTACATGCAATGCTTGTGCCTCCTTTTTACGACCACAGCGATGCCAGTTTCATCTACATCACAAAGGACATAGAAAGGACGCCGTCCAGTGTAAAGGGGGTTTAAGAAGCAGCAATTATTTATCAAGAAATAGCACATATTATAAGCTAGTCAACAATTCATGCACACAGTCAATCATGGTCCTACAACAAATAATATCATGGCATGTGTCAAAACATAATTTACTATATGACATACATTATCCAAAAAGAGGATTGTGTTACTTCAGTTTTATTCTTCGATTATTAATTGAGTTATAGCATTTTGTAAACATGTACATTTCTGATAATTAGCAACCACTTGAGGAATATGCTTTTTATTCAAACAAAAAAGAATATATGCAACTTACTGCTGCTTTTCAGCTACAATTGAAGAAAAAGAGAAAGAGAAAAATAATAAAAACACACAAAAATGCATGCACCAAACAACTACTCTAATTCATACAAAATACCTTAGTTGTATTTGCTAGGGCTACAGTACTCACAACGACATTTTACCAGGAAACTCAGCTACAAGCACAAAGTTAATATATACTCATGGTAGCACAAGTGTTACATTTAACAAAGCTGTGAGATACAACTGCACATTTAAATGTGTGTTTAAAGAAATGTCTTTTTTCACAAAATATTATACTGGTGTTATGCTTATTCAATACAAGGCCAACAGTGAAAGATTATGCAAAAGATTAGGTGTTACAACAATGTGAATCTTGATATGTTTATATAAAATGTGTTCAATTAAGTAGCAATATTAAATGTATCAACTTCAAGCATGCAAAAAGCACTTAATAAAGATATACAATAAGTGTTAGAGTTTTTGCATAACAAAAAAGCTAGTTTTTTTTTTTTTTTTTTTTTTTTTTTTTGAACACTTCCCTTTAATACCAAGTAAACCAATATTACCATCTATAAATCCTGGTTTTAGTTTAAAATTTCTCGTTTTAATCAATCTCTACTATATATTGGGACTGGTGAATTGCACTCTTCAGGGTAAAAATTAGAAACTACAAACTCTTAATGTGTTTTCACATATATCACAATTTCTCAACATATGGTATATCTTGGTTAATAAGGGAAAATTCACTTTTTGCCATAATAAAGGGTCTAACACACATTGTATGCCTTTAAAATGCATCCACATTCAAGTTCAACACAAAACACATGTTCACATTTCCTGACAAACATTTGTATCACATAAATGTTAAGGTGGATATTATTTCTCTCCATTTATACACAAAATAAAAGGACACTGAACACATATTATATACCATAGCCATATAACACAACAATATGAAGTGCAACTTGACAGGCTCTTCAACAGATTTTCAGTGAGGTAGTGACACAAAGATTACCCTTTTTAAACACATTTTGAACCTTTCTGATCCCAAGGTTAAAAACCTACTGAAAATACTGCAACATACACTGATACAAATGTACCCTGACTTTATGAAGTTTTTACACATCAGAACTCACCTTTATAGGCATACTCCAGGGCACTTGATACTGTTCTCATGTCAGTCTCTATGCTACGTGCCCAGTTCTCAACATCTCCAATTTCCTAGTTTAAATAATAACAAAAAAATGATAATAATAATAATGCTAACAAAATCAAAATCAAAAGGTTAGACATGTTAAAGTTTTCAACTTCATGCATTCATACTGCTTGAAATATATTATGCATTTTAGAGGAAGTTTTTTTAACCCAACCTTTGCAAAATACAGAAATTTCAACTTAAATGTCTGATGTTTTTTTTTACAACCATTTTTGATATTCAACAGTATGAAACCAAACTAACACATATATCAGATGCTGTTAAAATATATGGACACCAATGAGAACAAAAATAATGAGAGGAGGATCTAAATTTCNGTGGAACTCACGGTCGATAGAAAAATCTGTGCGTTTCACTTCATTAACTTCCAGTTTAAAATCCACGTTAATCTCAGACCACGTATTAAGCCATATCGATCAGAACCGGTCGTGTTTCACGTGCTGATCACATGAAATATGAGGGAATATTGGACGTCAGTACATTGATCTGAAACCATATGCCTCACTGGTTTTCCAAAATTAACGATTTTCAGATAATATATATATATATATATATATATATATATATATATATATATATATATATATATATATATATATATTATCTGAAAATCGTTAATATGCTATATTACCAAGGTAAAAAATGGCTAATAGTAAGCGAAAAGGCACAATGCATCAAAACATTTAATTTCCTTAATTTTCCTTGCGGTTTAGATACGTATCAGAGAATATCCTGCTTTATGTCATTGATCAGCTTTATAATTTCAATAAGAATGTGGACTTTATTTTAACGCTGACTTTAGAAAATGTAAAAGATCTATGTTATGTTAAAAGAAATGTAGAAGTTATTTTGCTTCAAGCTTGTTCAGGCTAATTACAAACAACTTCTGCATTTGTAGTGAAATTATATAGGATAGCAAACCTTTCCTGAAGCTAATGACAAACAAACTTTACATTTCTACATGTATATCCTTTTAACCCATTCAGAACAGTGTATTCGAACGTGTTTTGCATTAATTATCAGGCCCGTAGCCAGGGGGGGGGGGGTTCGGGGGGTTCGAAAGAACCGCCCCTTTTGCTGGGAAAAGGTCCACTCTGGGTAAAATTTGATCTAGGTACATGAAGTTTTTATGGGAAAAGGTCCACTTTTTCAGAAAAAGAACCCCCCTTTTGAAATTGCTGGCTACGGGCCTGATTATAAATCGTTAGAATCGAACGAAAGTCAGCTTCATTCCTCGTTATTATAAACTTCCATGCATGATCCTGTCATTTTTCTTTTCCTCGATTTGATCATGTCATAATGATTTAGCCACGCTGTGCTGAATGCCATCATGATATACAGTTATCTACATGTAATATTTACTGAAATGTTATAGTCAGCTGGCGCGTTTATATCCGCGTGGGTACGCCTGTCGATCTTTTCATCGATCTTTTGTATGCTTTGCTAGTACACATAACAAACTGTGTTGGTTTCCGGCTTATTTAGGCTTATGTGAAGTCAAAGAAAAATTGCCTTTGATAAATAGTATGTTTGATAAAATGCATTTGTAGCTGCATTTTCTATAAGATGTAATAAGTTTTCTTCTTTTTGGCATTTCTTTGATGTAAACATGGTATTGAAAAGGTTCATATAACAACACCAAGATAGAAAATCGTGCGATGTCTCAGATGTTAATTACATTTATAAAATTCATAACGATAATAAATAGTTATTCAATACTGGTATATCATTGTCACAATGGCGATCTCTCTACCTGCCAGTCAATACGTAGGGAGTTTTTTTTTTTTTTTTTTTTCGTTATCGGGTCAAAAGAAGCCTATAACGTTTTTAATATTTATTTATTTATTTATTTATTTATTTATATATTTATTTATTTTGCAGCTAACACAGAAGTAGATAACATAGACTTTCGGAACGCGCTGAAGTCTGTAGTAAAGAACAAAATCCAGCGCGAGGGAGCAGTGTCTCTCCCGTTGCTTGGGAACAACAGCAGCACCATCAAACGGGAGTACACAAAACTAGACGACGCTGTTCAGCACATCGGTGAACTACTGAAAGATAAACAAGAAGACAAAGTCGTCGACCTTGTATTCGGAAAAGACACAGAAATAACGGAGAAAATGACGACACAGATCAGAAAAAGTAATGGAGTAGCTGAAGATGTGGAGAAACTACGCAAGTCTCTCGAGGAAACGCCCGCCATTTCATCAGATCTAGAACATGCAGACGATCAAACTAAAAACGAGGCTGCACATGCTACAGATCATTCCGACTCGGGGACGGAACTGCTCGAAGTGTACAAACGCGCTTTGAATGAATCGGGGGATCCGATAGGAACGCGTTCAGCGGAACCACGTGAAACGGATGCTCACTATGTTCTTGTCACGGAGCCGACCAGCCGCGCCAAAAGTGCTCTAAGGCGCGCCCCTGTAACAAGAGAACCGCCTGTCCGACCAGACAGCCCGAAGGATAATAAACCGAAGCCACCGGAAGAACCGAAAAAAGACGGTGTGAAAGCCGAGCAAACTCTGAGCTACAGACGGAGCCTCCTAGCCTCAGTACCAGACGATGACGATAAACCGAGACCACGTGACCCCATTGATAAGAACAAGTCACGTGGTCGCACGAAAATTGACTACAGTTATGATTACACGCTGTTCAAGTTGAAAGAGGCACAGAAAAGGGAGAAGGATAAACCAGGAAAGAAGGCAGACGACATTGAAATCCCAATAGAAGATTACTAATCCCCTTCTATGCCAAACACTTTGTCCGTTTTTAACTTTGTTGATACAAATACTGCAGTTTTGTTCGTTTCCAATGTGTCTTGAGGTAATTTTGATTAGTGATAAGTTTCTTACTTTCACATACTTTAACAGGAATTGGGTCCTACGAACGTACTACATAACTTATTCTTTTTCCGCATGTTCGTAGCCAAATATTCACATGTCGAAACAAAGAGGTCTCTATTTATGTTACCATTATTTGACTACAGTTTCAGCTGTTGTAACACTATTTCATTGGAATTGTAATCAAGAAATTTTAAATTTGGATTCGTTTTCTTAATTTGAATATAAAATGCATATTTCTTTAACCAACACGTACTTCTCCAATGCAAAAGGATAGCTTAAATGTGTGCTTACCGTGTTATTTGCTCAATAAATCTTTTTAAAGTTTACAATATAATTTTATAGTTTGCAACGTTTGCGTCAGCTCCGACTTGCACGAAGTAGCCTTGAGAAGGAACAAAACTAAGAGGGTTCAAATTAAAAAAAATGTTTTCATTTTTCGTTTGTTGCCAATCACAAAGACAAATTGGTATTACTATGAAGATTACAAAGAAATATTTGGCAAAAGTTGTGACCGTGAAAAATTAGCCCTTTTTTCTTCCATGTCTTTTTAACTGCACAACTTTTTTACTTAAATTATTATACACGTAAGTAAAGTACAGGTCAAAAGTAACATATGTTTTAATTTTTTGATAAAAAATTTTAGCAGCCCCAAACAGTGTTGAACTATGTGAGGATATTTAAAATTATACACTTCGACTAATACTTCGACATAAAGTAATGCAACGTTTCTTTTTCTGCTCAGTTATCAAAATTTTGGAATGAGCTATACCCATATTGATAAAGTATCCACATGACTTTACATATATAAATTCTTGCATTCCATTAAAAATAAAAATAAAAAATAATGCCAAATAGCAGGCAAATACTTTATGAAGATGTAATATCTGTAGTAATATTGTATCCCCCATGCATTTTATTTTACAGATCAATGCACAAAAATAATTTTTGACAACCGTTTCAATTCCCTTATCTAATTTGATGTTATTATTTAGCTTTCATCCATAATGACTAGACTAGAATCCAAATCGGGCATTAGCAATCATATCCTTCAGTCTTTTTCTTTTTGGTTTCAATAATTTCACACTGCCTTGGCTTTTGACATTAGCACTGTCACCATTTACTGTCACTTCTTCATCGTTTGTAGCAGTTTTTGTATCACTGACATTTTCAGTTTCAATTTCAACATGTTCAATTTCTTCCCCTGGAGCATATTTAGAGGCAAATTCAGTTAGCTTTTCTTTTATCTTTTCCTGCCTCTCTCTTTCTTCTTCTTCTTGTATCTTCCTGAACTCTTCCCCGATATCTCTATCAATTCTGTCAATAGTCCTTTCTATGTTAAAATGAGCCATTTGCATAGTAAAATGTGGCACTGTTAAATTATACTTGTCAATCATTTTATTTACCAAGGTAACACCTTCCCTGAACTCCGCCTTATATCTATCCCACCAGAGTTCAGCACTCTTAGGGATAGGGGATGCTCCAAGTTTACGGCGGTTAGCCTCCAGCTTGGTTTTGGCATCTTTGTAACCAATTCTGCAAAGAAACAACATTTCATAAATAAAGTTTATTTTATCTAAATAAAATTTATTTGAAACATCATATTTCAAAACTACAATTTTTTTTATCCACCAATAATTTCCTTTTGCCAATAAGTAAACAGTAAATCGTAACTGATAACCTGTAGACCTCAATCACATAATTAACAGATTATAGCTGTTACTGCTCATTTTATTATGCTGCACTCCAAATGAAAAATTATTGTGCAAATGAGAGAAACAGGGTTCTGCAAGATGTATCTCAATTTTTTAGATTCCATTAAATACAGCATACTTAAGAGAATAAACTCCAGAGAGAGAGAGAGAGAGAGAGACCGATTCAAAACCACCTCACCAATGAGACTCGGCAATAATATGTGCAATGGAAATTCTTAAATAGCATAAAATACAAAATATAATTTTAGAATATTGATGAGAGAGAGAGAGAGAGACTGACTAATCGTTACCCCCTCACCTTATGTCTTTCTCCACCATGACCCAATCAGGCACAAAGCCGTTCTGTATCATTATCTTGTTTACATTGTGTGTGGTGGTGTCCACATACGGGTTATCTTTGTAGTTGTTCTCCAGAGGCTTGCCTTTACCAGGGAGGTTGTCAAACTCTCCCTTGTTCATGGAGTCCAGGATCATGTCCTCCACAAGGCGGTCCAGGGCATTGCTGTGAATTTTTATTTGAAGTTATTCTTAGTAAATTAGTATGGTTGAACTAGACAGAAAAAAATTTCAAGCTCATAGGCAGTTTCATGGGATGCATGTGGGTGCAAAACGAGACAAAAACAGGCAATTTTCACACCCTTGTATCCTACAAATTATAGTGAAAAATATTTTGCCCTTCCCACACCCTTTAGCAAATCTGCCAGTAAAACTGCCTGTACAAATTCAACCATGACAAACATACATGTAGTCTGTTGCATGAGCAGCACGACCACTTCTAAGAATGCTATCAAGTATGTTCACAAATAACCCACTGTACCCCGTATATTAAGTTTGTGGGAAAAGTGTTTTATTACTAAAAAAAACTTACCAAATATCTGTGTTTCTAACTTATACATCAAAACAATCCCATTCCATTACTTGAAACCATATCATATCTTAATCACCCTTTAAATAATTTTAATCATTATTGTCTATTACATCCAAAATCTCTCAATCTATTACTTAAAGTACACACGTCATCTTGTGAATCCTGGCTTTGCGCTTGTCCTTCAAAACCAGTGCATTTTCAGTCTGTGCGGCCATTCTCTCAATCCTGTGTTGTGTAACGTTCTCAGCCGCCCTGTGGACCTTGTATTGCTGATACTGCCGCATGCGCTGACTGGGGGTCCCTCGACCAACACCCTAAGAGTATACCAGGATATTAACATGTTACAAGAGCCCTTTTTAAATCATGTAGTAGAGTTACAAAATGTATCTCAATATGTGTACAGCACCAACATAAGAGACTGACAAAGTAAAAGAGTCAGCTAACCAGAGCCCCCACAAAGCCCCTATAATTATTATTCTGTCCATAGTACTAGGATATGGGGGGAAAGACATTTACAACGTACTGGTATGTGTGTGTGTGTGGGGGGGGGGGGGTGCTTTGCACGTTATTTTGTGTGTATAAGTGTATGCATGAGAGAGAGAGAGAGAGAGAGAAAGAGAGAACAGAAATAAAATTAATTCAGATATCTTCTATTTTATAACATTAAATTTAAGTTATTAATCAAAGTGTAGATACACTTAAGACTGTTGGCATGTATAAAATCTGTCCACTGAAGTTCCAATAATAACAGACAGTACCGTACATATCAAACCATACCTCATACTCCAAATACTGCCTGTGCTGTGGTGCCGTGTGCTTGATCCCAAATTTATCTTCCTCTTCCTCCTCTGGTTTCACCCCCTGTTTGAGGGCTTCTGCCCTGCGAGCATTTTCTTGAACCTTTTTCTAGAAAAAAAGTACTGAGTATGCATCAATGACAGCACAACTGAAACATTACATATCGAAATTGAGAGTGATAAAATAAAAAAAAAAAATTATCAAGAACTTATTTCAAGTCACACACATAACAAAATGTCCATGTGGGTGGTGTTTAGCATCTTTTAACTTTTCTGAACATTATTTAAGTTGGATTTGACAGACTACACAAAACTAAATAAACTCTTAAGTTTCATAATTCCAAACAAGAGCCCTACCAGCACTGCTCTGTAGGCAGATTCCACTTGATTAAACTTGTTGGCATCTGCATATCTGGAGTTACTATCTGGGTGGTACTTCTTGGCAGCATCCAGGTACGCCACCTTCAGTTCATCCTCAGTGCAGGAAGGGGGAACATTGAGCAGGGAGAAACATTCAGCTGGAAAATCATGTGAATGTGATACTTAATGAAATCAACAAGGATATATTTTAATTTGTTTCAGTCAGTAATTTTTTCAAAGCATGCACTTACTGCACAGAACATTTAATAGTAATTTTACAAAAATGAAATTACTTCAGTTACCATATTCTTAACCATTTAAGCTTAGGCAGAAAACTGTTGCATTACGAAATCTGTACATTATATACAATAAATTATTAAACTGGCGCTACATTTGCAAAATAACAATATATTTTTATATAATATTTTTCATTAATTAAGTAACTTATTTACTGAATGTATAAGCAGATTAATGATTTTAAAAAGCTACTTACTTAGATTTTTACTGATGTCATACCCATACAAACTAGAGGTGGTGTGTAAACTGACAGTCACTCTGTGAAGACATGGCATTCGTTCTGAGAGGGAAAACAACTGCCTTTGGAGCACTGCTGCCAACATCTTCATGTCCACTTACTAGTAACAGCATCAGAATGCTAATACTATTTAAGTCACATTTCCCTGGGCCTGGCTCAGTTGTTTCCCCTACAAGTTTAACGTAACACCCTTTTTTTCTATCATTTTAAGAAGACATTTCAGTGTGTGGCAAATGGTTGGATTAATACTCCTTTTGTGATAAAACTTAGCAATTCATAACGGTCAAGTAAATGGCCATGACATGTGCAATATATACATCCATTACGTAAGTGGGCTCAGAAACATTCTAATTTTTAGTCACAGACGCAGACTTCTATAAAGAAATCTTATTTTGTGACACTAAAATTGATTCTTACTGACAATTCATTAAATCGACTATATTGTAAAATCAATATTTATTGTCATTGTTAAAATGTGGTATTATTCACTGACAATCCATAAAATTAAACAAACTCGGGCCATACATACCGATTCAGTCTCATTTCACTGTTTGTTATGAAGTCCACAAGGTGAAGGTTATAGCTAGTCTCCAAATTGTTTAGCAAACAACATTCACAAATAATATCCATATTTTATATAGTTTTGAATGTATCTTTTAAATTGTAGATAAAGTTTTCTAATTGTGGGGTGCTCTGCAGAACGCTTGTACAAAGAAAAGTAGAAATGTTAAATGAGATTGAGATTGTAGGCCTCGTTTTGAGACCAACATCGATGGCCATGGCCGGCGCATTGGAGAGGGATGGTGTAGTTCGTGATGAGGAAGGTGAGTTTGAAAACATTATATCAAGTTGGTTATGTGTAACGATTGTCCAGAGATACTCATTTGTTTTCAGGCTGTTTCTGAAACACCCCAAATTCTGCTTTTTGCATCAACACCTACAAAGGGCAGTGCAGGTTTACTGTACGAAATCTGTAAATCTAGTAAATCTAGTAGTGTTTGTGCATGCATGTAGTAATAAATTGGGCGAGAGAAGAGATGGGTGTGTGTTTGTGTGTGGGAGGTGGCCAGGGGTCTTGAAATTTGGTGAATCAATTTGACTGTAAGAAGTGTATTGTGTGTATTGTTATCATTTGTGAGTTACTTGGTGGAAGGAAGTTCCATGATAGTAATTCCAGTAAGTCGTTAAAATGAACTGAAGAGCCGCGCTGTCTCAGTACATTTCTATTCTGTTTTTAGGTAATATGTTTATCCCAGCCTCCAGGCGGCCTGATGGGACCTGGAGGAAAGCACGCAGAGTGAAAGATGGCTACGTCCCCCAGGAGGAAGTGCCGGTGTAAGTGCCTAAACTAAACCACTAGTCCTTCTTTACTTAATGTTGGTTTTGGGCTTGTAGTCAAAATATTATTATTATTAAAAATTAACCAAGAGTGAGAAGTTGACTAAATAGTTATAAATGCTTTGAGTATTATTTATTTTTTAAAGTAAATCCTTGTTAGTATTTTGACATGCACTACTACATTTTTTATGCATAAATTGAAAGGTTTCAGGTTATGTGTAACACGCGGCATTGTGTATCTTGTGGCATGTCTGATCTAGTAGGTGTGTTTGCATACTCAGGAGACACATCTATCATTAATTGAAGGGAAATATTTAGAGAAAACCTGCAGTCAAATAAAGTCTTTAAATTTTTACAAAGCTATGTAAAAATCACAAGGACATTACTACATTCAACTTGAAACAAGATTGTAAGCTGCAAAACGGAATTCCTGTCATTTTTCATTCAGGTACGAGAGCAAAGGCACCCAGTTTGTGAAGAACAAGCCCACCCTACCCCCTGGTCTGTTTGTAGAACCTGACAGCAAGCACAACAACCCTGGGTCAGCAGGCATACCAGGTAAGCTGTGATCATAATTAAAAAATATTGTCTCTGTTGCCCAATTTGCAGTCAAATTACTACATTCATCCATGTAAACAGTGACGTGACTGTATCCCTTGTTTAAAATCTGACATGCAGATCAAAATATTGTCAGAGTCACCCAATTTACTATCTAATTACTTAATTAAATTTTATGTATCAAATGATGTATTATTTTTCATTTGCCACCCCCCCTTTCCAAAAATGGCAATAATTAGATATTGACATTCTGTATTCATTGTTCACAAACAGTGAAATAGAACTGAATTAATATTTTCATGTGTTCTAAATGCAATCAAATTGTGACCAAGTTTTTTCTGTATTTTAAAATTGTGCATGGTTATAATGTAGATATCAGTATGTGGATTGTGTAATAACAAAAGTGACATTTAGTGATCAGTATTTATCTGCTCATAGGTTTGTCAAAATCAGCCAAGAAAAATGCAAAGAGAAAAGAAAAGAAGAAGCAGGAAGCTGGAGACGTGACATCATTATCAAGCTCTTTACAAGAAACAAAGTTAAACGATAAAGAGAAAGATGCCAAACCAGAAGTCAAAGTTGATCCGGCCAAGAGAATAAAAACTCTAAAGAAAAAGATCAAGCAGATAGAGGACCTGCAGGCAAGGATAGACTCAGGGGATCTGAAGGAACCAGACAAGGACCAACTGGAAAAGATTTCTAGAAAACAACAAATTCTGACTGAAATTGAAGAGCTGGAGTTGGATCTGTCTTCATGAGGAAAAATGACCTCGAGTAATGGATTTTATGTGGAAGAAATCTTGAGATTCAATTTGAAAGATAACTAGGTGTGAGAATGCCAGTGGATTGTAGAGGTATAAGATGGATACTTAAGAGGAGGTGCTTATTGTTCCAGGCAAGATAAGATGTCTGATATTAGGTAGAAATTACTGTTAAGTATCATAAGTAGATCTTAACATGCATCTGGAAGAGGAATTTTGCAGCAAGAATAAAGTCAAAAGTATTTATGGAATAAGTGGAATAAATAATAAAAATAATTGTTTTTACTGCTATTGATGTATAAGGTGTACAAATGCTTCACATTTTTACTTTTATTTATAAATAAAATCATGTTTTTACAAGTTTTTTCTCATTTTCTTTTGTGAAAAATACAAAAAAAAAAAAAAGAAATTGTAAGATAATCCTACAACTGTAAATTAGGTAACAGACAGCTAGTAGATAGCATTTTTCAATAGTTTTAACTGCCCCTCCTCCTTCATAAAAAATAACATTTTAAATTATTCAAAATCTTGAAAAAATATTCATAATTTACTTTGGTATTTTTTAAATCCTAAACCTGACAATTGTACATTTATTTACATTATAGCTAACAGATAACATGAATAAACATAATTTTAACCAAGATTTAACGAACTATGAAATTTGATAAATTACAATTTAACAATGATTATGAAGCATTTTGCTTTTTTCACCAATATTCTTTCTGAATATATAACATACAGAAAACGAGTCTACAAATGTTCTTTTTCCTTGACCTTTAAAATTGCACTTTAATCCCCTTGTATTGATTCAAAGGAAGGTGTATCAGTCCATTCAACTTGAAATGCACACTGCTTTCACACCCAACTTTTCACTCATCCTGTCTATCTGTCACTCTCTCCTGAAATAAATCAAAATTAAGATAAATATAGCGATTCTATTTCATATTTCAAACAACATTTACTCTTTTGTGCGTATTTTCATCATAAAATTTCTCCATAAAATTTTCTTCCATAAAAAAAATTAATTTACAACACATAGATTTTTTATAATAAAATTATACGACAATTGTTTTAATATTAAAATTAACACAGTTTCTATAGTGATAGCCCCATTCATACACTTTTTACAGAAGAATAGATCTGATTTTGTTTTCAAGGCAACCTGGTCAGTATATATATATACAACATCATACATTCTTTGATTATGGAAAACTACAGCAATCACATTAAAATCATTTTGGGGCTAAATATTACTGAAATATTACTTTAAGTTATGGCACTTATTTGCAAATTAGGCATTATTAATTTTTATTCAATTTGTTAATTTTGAAAATTAAATTTGATTCGAAAAAATTAAAAGCTTAATTAGAATTTAGGAATATGAAGGCAAAACAACACAACATGCTTACATGTCTAAAAAGCAAGTAGATAAAAAGAGGGCATTTTTATCCTGAAATATTTATGCATTAAAAGCCCCCTCTACACTGGCGGCGTCCTTTCTGCTTCCTGTAGTACGTTTCCGTTTGAGAGTAAAAAAATAATAATAATTTACATGCAATGCTTGTGCCTCCTTTTTACGACCACAGTGATGCCAGTTTCATCTACATCACAAAGGACATAGAAAGGACGCCGTCCAGTGTAAAGGGGGTTTAAGAAGCAGCAATTATTTATCAAGAAATAGCACATATTATAAGCTAGTCAACAATTCATGCACACAGTCAATCATGGTCCTACAACAAATAATATCATGGCATGTGTCAAAACATAATTTACTATATGACATACATTATCCAAAAAGAGGATTGTGTTACTTCAGTTTTATTCTTCGATTATTCATTGAGTTATAGCATTTTGTAAACATGTACATTTCTGATAATTAGCAACCACTTGAGGAATATGCTTTTTATTCAAACAAAAAAGAATATATGCAACTTACTGCTGCTTTTCAGCTACAATTGAAGAAAAAGAGAAAGAGAAAAATAATAAAAACACACAAAAATGCATGCACCAAACAACTACTCTAATTCATACAAAATACCTTAGTTGTATTTGCTAGGGCTACAGTACTCACAACGACATTTTACCAGGAAACTCAGCTACAAGCACAAAGTTAATATATACTCATGGTAGCACAAGTGTTACATTTAACAAAGCTGTGAGATACAACTGCACATTTAAATGTGTGTTTAAAGAAATGTCTTTTTTCACAAAATATTATACTGGTGTTATGCTAATTCAATACAAGGCCAACAGTGAAAGATTATGCAAAAGATTAGGTGTTACAACAATGTGAATCTTGATATGTTTATATAAAATGTGTTCAATTAAGTATCAACTTCAAGCATGCAAAAAGCACTTAATGAAGATATACAATAAGTGTTAGAGTTTTTGCATAACAAAAAAGCTAGATTTTTTTTTTTTTTGAACACGTCCCTTTAATACCAAGTAAACCAATATTACCATCTATAAATCCTGGTTTTAGTTTAAAATTTCTTGTTTTAATCAATCTCTACTATATATTGGGACTGGTGAATTGCAATCTTCAGGGTAAAAATTAGAAACTACAAACTCTTAATGTGTTTTCACATATATCACAATTTCTCAACATATGGTATATCTTGGTTAATAAGGGAAAATTCACTTTTTGCCATAATAAAGGGTCTAACACACATTGTATGCCATTAAAATGCATCCACATTCAAGTTCAACACAAAACACATGTTAACATTTCCTGACAAACATTTGTATCACATAAATGTTAAGGTGGATATTATTTCTCTCCATTTATACACAAAATAAAAGGACACTGAACACATATTATATACCATAGCCATACAACACAACAATATGAAGTGCAACTTGACAGGCTCTTCAACAGATTTTCAGTGAGGTAGTGACACAAAGATTACCCTTTTTAAACACATTTTGAACCTTTCTGATCCCAAGGTTAAAAACCTACTGAAAATCCTGCAACATACACTGATACAAATGTACACTGACTTTATGAAGTTTTTACACATCAGAACTCACCTTTATAGGCATACTCCAGTGCACTTGATACTGTCCTCATATCAGTCTCTATGCTACGTGCCCAGTTCTCAACATCTCCAATTTCCTAGTTTAAATAATAACAAAAAAATGATAATAATAATAATGCTAACAAAATCAAAATCAAAAGGTTAGACATGTTAAAGTTTTCAACTTCATGCATTCATACTGCCTGAAATATATTATGCATTTTAGAGGAAGTTTTTTTAACCCAACCTTTGCAAAATACAGAAATTTCAACTTAAATGTCTGATGTTTTTTTTTACAACCATTTTTGATATTCAACAGTATGAAACCAAACTAACACATATATCAGATGCTGTTAAAATATATGGACACCAATGAGAACAAAAATAATGAGAGGAGGATCTAAATCTCCTTTTTGCCTGCATTGTAAATGGACATAAGACCATTATAGATTAATTGTGTTTGTTGTGACCTATCACTGCTAACACAATGAGGAGCAAAGCCTTCCAACAAGACACCATTGTGACACAATATGACACGGTCCTCTTACCTTGAGTGCTGTATTAAAATCCTCAACCAGTTTTAACCACTGCATGGTCTGCTTGGCAAACTGTCCTGCATTAATCTGCAGTATCTTGGTTTCTGTGTCCAGTTTCTTTTGGTTTACATATGCCTGGGCAACCCTAGGGATGAAAGGTAAACAGAAATATAGTTTTCAAATGGGTTCAATACTTGCAACTGCATTGATCATGACAACTACAATTGTTTTCATGATGACTTCTAACAAATTCCAAGTATCAAAAGTCAAAAGATATACCATTATCGTTGCCAAGACATATTATACTGTAGCATTGGTTTTAACAAAATATGCTGTTTCCTATATTTAGTATGATTAACCCATGGGTGAAAGAAGTTAATCAGTTTAAAAATCCTGAAAATGTAACTTGCAATTCCCCCATCATATATATATATATATATATATATATATATATATATATATATATATATATATATATATATATATATATATATATTTACACCATTTGAAAAAAATGATCAAAGTGAAGACTGAACATCCTGAAATCAGTCACAATCCTGTTAACTTCCACTCATGGACTAACTAAAAATGGTTTATTATGTTGTGGCAATAGTGACAGTATTCACATAAACATATCTGATCTATCATTAACCTTCTCTTACCCAGCATTTAAATGGTCAACAAGAGCATGTGTGAAGGCAGTTGCAGATTCATAGGCTTCTTTTCTCTTCTTTTCTGTAAAATCATGTATATAATGATAAAACAAGGTATAAGTAATGTATATAAGCAATGGAAGATCCAGATTAGGCCTCCAAGCTATGAAGATAGCCATTTTACTTTCAAAACATATGAATACATATGACAACAAACAAGCAAAACTACAGTAGATAAAGCAACTATTTTATTTTACCCGCACAGTTCAATTTAACTTTTTCTTATATCTGCAACATGTGGTTAAGTATAAATAGGGATAAGGTGATATAATTAAACTCAAGATGTAGGATCAGAAACCCCTAAAATATTCAGTGATTGCACTGAGCTCCAAGCCCAAGGTCGAAACTCGGGTCACTCTAGCTGTCTGATTCACTCACCTTGTTCTTCTTTTCTGGCTTGTTGCCGAGCTTGGTGCTCTCTCAGCAGACTTGAGAGCATCCTGCAGAAGTCAAATGAGTCTGTTGGTGATTTATCTTACTGAAAATTATCGCATAGCTGAGTGATTAAACAACCAAAGGTGCGCCTTCTGTAGAAAGCTGCTATTACGGAAGTGCCTTGGAACACCTCTAATAGGCTCATGCGCCTAAAAAATAAATCTAAAATTCGAGATACCCTTACAAATAAATCATGGCGTATATGCTTTTATTAAAACAGTTGATACTTTGATAAGAAATAATATTGCATTATTACACACCTCACATATGTTATAATATTTTTTTCGTTGTTTGCTCTGCTTTAATCTTATATTACTCCGCAGCGAAAAATCACGTACGATCTCGCGCACACCTTTAACGAGATTACAAGCACCGACTATGGCCGCGTACACACAACTTTTGTATATACTTTTAAAGATAATTTGCTTCTCACCAGGACTCTACGCATTTAATCTCTTTACAAAGCTACCAATAGTGAAAAATGGACCTGTGGATTCATATTTTGGATTTTCTGTCGAACAGCATCAGATGAATAATAGCGGGGATGTCACTCGACTGGACGAGAATCTGTAAGTACCGATGTTTGTGTGTGAACTCAGCGGGTCTTTGAGAGCAGACACATGTGAAAACCGGCTCGATTTTATAGTTTATAGATACACAGTTGAGATTGATACAGTGACCTGTTAAGCTTGATATGAGATAAACATCCTGTGCAGATGGACTTTTAGGTTTATTTTAATTTCTTGTATCTCCTAGGATGTTGTATTAGTGGATCCTAATATTATGTGTGTGTGCTGTGTGTAATACCCCCAGCCCAGCTTGCCTCACCTCATTAAGTGTGTTATTTTAGTACCTCTGCAAGGTACATGTGAAGTAAGTTCATTTAAAAGCCCTGTCCTTGTTCAAAATATTGCATTAACCATGCCAAATAGAATATTGAAATTATACTGAAATATATGACACCCCTGAAGTATCAACTTCATGACCTCGTTTGTTTTGTCACATGTATTATAAAAAGAGAAAAAACAAGACCAAACAGTCATAAAGGTTGTCACATTTTTTGAAGCAGGTGCCATGCTTCATCTGGCTATGACATAATGTCAGTCAATCAATTTCAATTTTAAGGATAATGAAATGCACTGTTATTGCTATGAACAAAAGTGTTTGAATACAATCTGAAAACTATACTTTGTGATAGCCCTTATTCATTTTGTCCATCTGCTACCTTTTGATATATATATTACATAGTTGATGAATGAAGCTAGTCATAGTGTCTACTAGTTCATACAATCAGTCTTGGTGGCTGTCTTCATTAATAAGGCCATTTAATTTATTTATTATTATTACTTTTTTTTTTTTTTTTTGAAATAAAAGAGAAAAAAGACAAAAAAGCAAAGATTAATGAAAGTTTGTTTAGACTCATTGAACACATCTACTAGTAGATGCAAACACTTGCTGGCATAGAATGAGGACACGAATATTAAATTAATTTAGCTGGTGATTTATATAATTTTGACCAATTAGTGTAGGTGTCAATGTGACACTGCATAATTACTTCAAAGCATACAGTTACTGTTAACACATTAGATAGCCAGGGATTGTTAAAACAATTTTAAGAAAAATGCATTTTTTTTAATGCGTTTATTCACTCAAAGAAAAAAAAAAGAAAATATACATATATAATGAAATATTTAAACAGATAATCAAAGATTGAATGCATGTAAAACAATGCTGATGATAATTACGGTAAATAAATACTAATAGATAAATAAAAAGAGCGTAAATATATAGAAATACTCTCACTCACTCATCCATCCATGCATACTACGCGTGAGCTACATATCAGCAACTATAACATATTTAATGAAATGTTTAGACAGATAATCAAAGATTATCAGAAAAATGCATTTATAAATCATGGATACAGATTCCATCCTTCTAAGGATGGAATCTGTCCTAAAAGGAAGACCAGAAATCTATTGTTTATATTGTATAAAATGTGTGGAGATGAAGGTTGTTCAAAGAAAAGAGGTTTTCCCTTTCCCCAGCATTATCTGTTCCTACTCCTGTATTATCAGTGTCCAAAGATAAAAATGCAAACCCATCTGAGTGTAGGTTTCAATTTATCTGAATTTTATTTATTTCCCTCCCTCGTTATTTGAACCTGCAAAATATTTTCATCAACACTTATTTGATTGTTAATATACAAGAAATATGAAAACTTTCTTCACCAATTTTTTTGATGAAAGGAAGAAAAGTAACTGAAATCTTAACAGTTTTAACTGAATTCAGGTCTACTAATATTTCTAAAACAATTTTCATAAGATTTTGATTCTTGGCAGAGGTCTGCCCTCTTGAAGTGCTGTCTAGTTAGCTATGGGTTTCTAAGTAGTTCCAGTTAACATAACACTAGTATGCTGAACATATGCAGTGCCTGGAAAGTATGCTTCTGCACTGGTTCTAATGTAACAGACTCAAGGCAAGGCTAAGGAGATAACCTCTGATATTTACTGTGTGTTTTCTGGGCTGCCCTTTTGGCAAGCTCAAGTTGTTGTACACTGTTTGATAACACAGTTGGGTAGAGATTTGAGGCAGGATAAAATATATGTGTTTTACAAGTCCAGCAGTTCCACAGTATTTTTACAAGCCTTGTTTGTTGTATATTCAGCAATGTTGTAATGATATCATGTGTGGCAGAGTCTCAAAATTTTTCTAGAGACAGCTGTAAGTCGTATTCACATTAAAGATAAGTCAGACTCATTCACAGAATTTTCACAAGAATTGCGAGCAGCTAAGAAACCAGCTTGCTGTATGTTCAATGATGTGTCCTATTTGACTTCGTTTTGGTTCTTTGTTCTGTTAGGGTGATTAGAATGATGAAATCTGTACCAAACCTTATCTGTAGGTCATAAATTCTAGATCTATATAAATGTCAGTTTTGAATTGCTATCATGATAATTATGCAGTGAAATCTGCAGATATAAAGCAGTGTATTTAGCTTGAAGGCCTGTAGAAAAGAAGGGTTGTGCCAGTGATTTCAACCTTTCTTTATTGTTAACCTGACCACAAACCATAGAGTAACTCAAAAGACTGTGCATGAAATTAGGCAAGTTTTTTTTTTTTCGTTATGTCACTCACATGTGGTTTACATTATATAGCATTGCACTAAGGAGTGTCTTGAGTATGTTCTCCCGACCAACTTGGGACAGGTTAACTTAATATGCACATCTTTCCTTGTGATTATGTTTTTCTAATCATCAGAGATCAAATTATTAGCACTAAGATATGACATTGTAGAGAAAGTCTGCTTTGCCTGACTATGAGATTTTATTCCTTCTTTCAGCATTTCCTCCCCCCTCCTCTCTCTCTCTCTCTCTCTCTCTCTCTCTCTCTTCCAAACAATTCAGTGGTAAATATCAGTGTTGCCATATCTCTTAGCACAGGAAATATCAAGGAGGCTGACCCTAAAATAGTTGGTAGGCAGCGGATGTGTTGTCAGTTTTTCAAATGCAGCAAATATTTTGCAGCTCGACCCGGGTATTCTAGGTGGAAAAAAAGGTCAGGTAAGGTCAACTGGTGGAGATTCCAGTAACTAAAGATTTCCTTCAGCACTGAGCAGCCCTCAGTGCTGTTCATCAACTTGTACATCTGTCACGTTGAGAAGAGCAGAGTTTGTAAGATGTAAGAAAAAAAACTTCTTTAATGAGTTTTACATACCAAGTGCACAGGACTTATAGAATGGCTTCTTGAATGTGGTTACGGTGGAGTTGAAAATTGTTTGAGAATAAAATTAAAGTTGTTTTGTTTCATAGTGAGAGGTAATCCTATTTTTTTATTATTACTTTTTATAAAATATATGAAATGTGGAATGGGAAACAAAGAAGATGCTATCTATTTCATCTTGCACGAACTAGTGCACTTCAGTACAACTTGTAATGTATATTCCAATGATAAGATTGAATGTTTTCCCCGAGCAGTCATAAAACTTCCTTCTCATCATACTTATCAGTATTGACTGCATTATATACATAAACCATTCAGTTGCCTGTCATATGAAAGATATCTTTGGAAAACCCAAAACATGCTGTAAAGTACAGATGAATGGCATTCAGAAACCTGTTTTTGTGTAAATGATATGGAATGCCCAAAATATGCTGTAGGTGAAGGGCCTACAAAAGCTTGGTTTTGTACATGAAATATATTTATGGAATACCAAAAACATATTGTACAAGTACAGATATAAAGTAGCCGAAAACATAGTTTCATGTTAAAAGGCCCCACATTTACCATTACAAGACATAGGGTTTAAAATTACCCAGTGTTTACTCAGTGGAGAGCAGAGAATCTGGGTTTAGTTTTGTCAAGTGGACTGTGAGAGGTGTGTGTCAGTACAGCAGCACCTGGTGTGGTTATAGTCACCCTGTGTATCAGATGTTATGGGGGAATCTCCTCAGTTAGTTCTCCACCATAAGATGTGAGTTTTGATTAAGCGCTGAACTTCAGGGTATCATGTTGCACTACATACTTGGGATGTGTTTTGAAAATATGCGTGTGTATGTCTGTGTGTGTGTGTGTGTGTGTGTGTGATATCACTCAGGTATTATTGGGAAAGCACTGCAGTTATGCACCTGCCATTATATATGAGTTTCTAGTTACCTGTGAATCTCAGGGTGGGTTGCAGTGTACACTGGGGTATGTCTGTGTAGTCTGTGTAGTGACCAGTATGTACAGTGTGTCTGTGTAGTACTAGGTGTGTTGCTTTGTGGTTAAGCCCCCTTTACACTGGAAGGTGTCCTTTGTGCATCCCTTAGTACAGCCCCGCTTGAGAGTATATTATACTAGCCTAGTGCCCAGTGGCAGTCTACTGGTCAGTTATCTCCTGGCCAATGGCAAACACTGCTGACTGATACTGAACATTCTAACTTTACTTTACCATGTATATATCTAGTAGTAGTTGTCCGGAATAATCAATTACTAGGCTATCTAGGAATTGATATGGTTTTGGTAGCCAGTATTTGCACATCTGTGATGGTATTCTGGTCATAAATCATTCTGCAATAAAACAGTTTTAGTGTGTATATTTGTGTGTGTGTGTGTGTGTGTGTGTGTGTGTGTGTGTGTGAGAGAGAGAGAGAGAGAGAGAGCGCCCATTTATTTGCTCTAGCTATTTCTCTCACTCAAGTGCTCCATAAGAACTACAAACTTTTAACCCTAGATAAGACAAGCTTGCAGTTATTGTAAATCAAGTAGACTTAATATCACCATTTACCAACTGTCTTTGACCACTAGAAGGTTGGTTGTCATGACTACTTGTAAATATCTCTTAGGTATATAGGTTATACAGTACTTGTATTTTCTACTGGGTGTTCTTAAGTCTTGACACAACATGAAATATCTAGATAGATTCATGATTTTGTTTTCTGCCCTGCATATTTAACATTTATTGTTTGTATAAAGTTCATTTTTACATATTGTTTCATTTAATCTACTAGTAATATATTTGTTTATTGATGTGCCCATGAAATGATATATTGTAAAAAGGTAGAGCATTGTATAGAGGGTAAGATGT